AGAAGCACTTCAGAGAGAGAAAGATGAGAGGTTTATCGGCCAGTCATGATTGATGTCTGTCCTGTGAAAGACCTTCCTACCCGTTGGCCACTTTTCAACTCGACTGTTTGCCTGGCTTTGTCAAGACATAAAGTGAGAATTAACGAGTTTCTAAATGTACAACCCTGCAGGTGTTTGTGTTTGATCCTCTGTGCTGGAGAGTTCTGGTGCAGCCAGGCCTGTCAATGAATACTGAAGCGATCAATAAAATGATGATTATAAATCCTGTTTAATAGCACAGAGTGCAGGATGTGCTGAATCAGGGGTGCAAGAGAGCTGAGTTAAGGACTGAGGGTAATGAACATGGTGCACTGGGATACTGTCCAAACAGCAGATTAGATGGGAGCAGTGGTACGGTGCTTATTCAGTCAGAACTGTGAAGAACTTGGGTTAACAGTGAGTGACGTTTTAAAGATGTGGCCAAGTGGTTTGTGTTTAACTTAAACTGAGCGTCACATTAGTCTTAGTCAGCACACAGAGTATTATTGATCTTAGAGGAACTCCAGTGACTGACTGTAAAGTTTCCAAAGTAAAAAACTCTACTTGTAGATTCTCAGCTTTATGTGAAGAGAGGTATGGATAAGTGAAGTGGACATAGCTACAGGAACGTCACCCATTGGTTTGTTGACGACCTTTTTGAAGCCACAGTTTTGCCAATTTTACTAAAGAATGTGCAAAACATGGATTTGGTAAAAGTGGCATCACCCACTGGTTTCTGAAGAGAAGTCCAACAATAGCAGCCGCCATATTGGAAATGCTGACTCAGCCTAACTTTGAGTCAATCTAGAATAGAAACAGGAAGAGGGGTTGAGCTGAGGCAGGTCCTAAGCCTCGACCTACCTGCCTGCCAGTCAACTCAGCCATGCTCCTAATTCTGCAAATACGTTAGCCATCCTTCGTACTGTGTGAATGAATTAAGAAATTAGTAATTCAAAAGTTTTTCTGTACCGGGCTTTAAACACGTTTACTTCTGCTGTAAAATGTTATATTGGTCTTAATGGGACTTCCTGGGCTATCGAAGTGCACACACAAGGAACTGCACTTTTATGCACTTTGGCATTGGCCTCCTTTTTCAAGGTTGCCGCTTGATATTAGCCCTTGAGGTCTTGTTTGTTTGGAGTCAGAAGTGACCGTATTAGAGTGAGGATTCACAGTACTGGTAAAGAAACAACCTGAGATAAATCAGGCACTGTTGTTGACACTGTCACACAACTTTGGTTAACTCATGGGGGGGTTTTGGAGATTGTTAATCATTAATCAATCTCTTTCTGTCAGCAGCTTGGGATTCCCCGGCAATCCCAGGTACACTTGGTGACAGAGTCCACCCACTGTGTCCTCAGGGGATTTCAGGGGATTTCCTTGTGACTTGGATGCTATCAACAGCAGGGAAATTGTGTGGCAATCTGCTTAGCTTTTTCTTTAGTCTATAGTGGAGTTGTGGAAAAAAAAAAGATGGCAAAGTCAGTGTCTGGGTGTTCCAAGCTTCATTTAAGTGGAAAATACACAATGTTTTGCTTGAATTGTCTTTTAGAGGACACCAAAAAAGACGCTTTCTTTTTGATATCTCAGCACCAGCAACAGTTGTGACCAGAGGCATGGAGTCTACAAGTGGTCCATCTCTGTCCATCTCATTATTGATGAGATTATTTCTCGTGAAATTTAGTGCACAGTATGTCCTCTTGGACTTGAGGATGAAGTCAATAGATTCCAGTGGTAGAAAAAGTCAAAGGTACCTCAATGTGAATTTCTTAAGAATTGAAAACATTTGTAAAACTGGCAAAAATGAATCAACGAATCAATGAATGTTATAATTATTATTATTAATGTTCTTCCATGGGAGGGACGATGCAATCGACTTTCAATTAAATTAAATCAATTAATCTACCCATCATGCACTTGTTTTTTTTTTCCTCTGTTGCAATAACCCTCTTCTACCAACCACATGCTCTGCAAGGACATTACAGGCCTGTGAATGATTATGGTGCGACCGCTACTTTTAATTGTAGACCTACTCATGCCTTCATTAGTTTTAGGGGATGTGATGTTTTCTTTCAAATATTTTCCAGTTTACTGGTCATTTTAGTTTCCCTGGTCGGCATTGTTAGCACTGCTCTAACCCTCAAAGGCCTGTTGCATGGGTCTACTGCACAGCTCTCTTCAATCTTTTGTGCACACTAGTTCTTCTACAATTACAAACCTCTCTGGAAAAAAAAAAGAAAATTGCATTTGTACCAATTACATGCAATCCTCTGTGAATGATTTACTCTTCAGGACGACTCCAGAAGCAAAATAAAAAAAAAAAGATATACAAGAAGAAGACGCTTCTCACCGTTTTAAAAGCATTCTTCCTGAGTCCATGTTAATTTGTAAGAAATCTTTAGAGTCAGGCGTCGTCATTTAACATAAATGTGCATACATTCATATTTTATATCACATGGCACATGTAGCCACAGAGCATGTTTAGCACAAGCACAATGCTAAATATGAAGGCCGCTGACAAAGACACTCCATCATAGCTCTCAGGGTATTTCAGAGTCATATATTTTTCCTTCAATTACAGGAACCTGCAGACACATAGCGGTGCTTCTATTATGTGCAACATTACTGCACAGTGTGAGATGAGATGATCTGCAAGTCATTGCTGCAGAGCCAACCGTGTCTGCAGCCAAAAACTGAAATGAAACCATCCAACCTATTTTTGAGGCCTTTTTTTTTTTTTTTTTTCATTTCCACGGTGTCTTACTTTAGCTCTTCCTCCTTTTGTTACCTCTTCTCATTTGAAAAGCAAAATGAGTCTGAAACACTGCTCTTTCTCTTCACAAGGGAGAGAATGGTTTAGTTCATTTGGGATGTTTTAATCAAATGCTTTGAACAGATCATAGTGATGATGGTTTTGACATCTTCATCAGATCAGGTCTTTTTGTTTGTTTCATGATGAGAAGGAAAATCTGCAGATATTCATTCTTCAATACTTCAATACGTTTTTGATATCACATGTTTTAAATACACTCTTTGTTATGTCAAAGATCAATAGCGTACTGTCGCTTTAAAAGAAACAGATCTTCAGTTCACCTCAAGCTACCGCAATGAAGAGAGAGAGCAGCAGTGGTCCATTTTAAAATCGCAGGTCAGCAAATAAACTCTCGATTCCTTTAAAGTCTAATAAGGACACACAAGTAGCGTTTACTCCTCATATGGACAGAGAGCAGCGTATGTGTCAGGGGAGGAGTCACTGTCTAAATTGCAAACAAGCTTTGGCAACATTTTGGTACCAAAACGCAGGTTAATGATGGTTTGCCGAGTGTGGCTAACGGTAGCATTGCCAGCACCACAAGCCATGAGTCCTTCCTACAGGTCACAGGTCTGTGCAGAATTTGCTCACAGTTGCTCTGCCTCCCACGAGATGCTATTCGTTCACTGTGCTTGTTTACATCCGGGTAGTAGAGAGGGGAGAGCAGGTCAGTTAACTGGATCTGTATGGTTTGTAATTTGAGCTCAGCATTTGACCGGAATCAAGGCCAACGTACAGAAATATGAATCATTCATTTAAGTGACGAGTATTTTTGGTGCCAACCAGCGAGGGTGATGATGTTTATCTGTTAAGTCGACTAACATGCGCAGGTCTCTGGTGACAGCCCGAGTTGTTTCATCATCCAAACATTTCCATTTTTCTTCAGAGTTGTATTTTGGAATATAAAACTTACAACAACTGTGCCTCCAGGGAGCACACGTTTCAGATCATGCTTCGTTGTTGCCTTGAATTTTTATTTGTTGTTGTTTGTTTCCTGTAGTTATTCCTACCAGAGCGGAGTTTACTGCTGTGCACAGAAACACACTGCTCTAGGGTGATAAACAAAAATGTTTTCATGTTTAACATCTTCCAGCTTTCCAGCCGAGGTATTTACTATATTGTGTGTGAATGCTACAAAGGACAGGAATGACCTCACACTTGCACGAGGGCACACTCACATATAGCAATTTAATTTAATCCTGGATAGAGCGTCCCGCGCTGTTTACTGCATGAGTCATCACAACCTCTCAGGTAACGCTGAGCTTTGACTTTCAATCATTTTCAGAATGACTTGAGATGTGCACTGCTGGAGTTTCTCCTCATCCATCTTTGTTCTGAATGCACCTAAAAGTACACATCTTTAATTGTCAGCAGATGGCTGAGTGATCTTGAGAGATGTCATCCTGCGTGTGTGTGTGTGTGTTTGTGTGTGTGTAGTGATTCACTTAAATAGGTCAGACAAGCAGTGGACAGCCTGCTTCTGGCTGCACTAATCTATTTATCCCATCAGTATTACAGCATGTAGACGTATTTCCGAATTGTAGAAGGCATATCATACAGTACGTAATGCAGTGCACACATTCTCCCTCCTCTGTCTGATGTCTGTCACCTGTCAGAGATGTGTGACTTCCTGCCGCCCGCTGCAGAGCTGCATGCTAACAGAGGATGTTTGATGGACGAGGGTTAATATGAAGGTAGTGGGACAAAGGGCACAGTGATGTCAGTGGAAACTGGCCCCATGTCTGAGCTAAAAAGATCATTATTTGTGACTTTTACTCCAAATTCAAGTCTGCTTTTGTTCACTACCACTGATTGAGATAGTGTTGTTCATGAAATAGTGCTGTCAATCGATTCAAAAATATCTTCGTTAAAGGCACAGTTTGTAAATTCCGCCATCAGGGGGCTTTCAAACAAAAACAATAGCAAAAGATGACGGGGAATCATGGGAGTTCTCTCTGCTGCTCCTCCTCCTTTGTAAACTGTCTCAAAGCCAACTTGTGTTACAATATTTCATTTTTAGTTAACATCTTGTGCGGGGTAAAGAGAGCTGCTGAAAGTGAACTCAATGTCTGTCCATGAATTGTTGTTTCAGCCGATGTTCAGATTCCGTCCTCTGAGTACATTATTCTTTAACTTGTTTCACATTTGTGTTTCTCGTCTCTTTTTCTAGGCTTCAAGTGCCCCGTGTGCTCCAAGTTTGTGTCCTCAGATGAGATGGATCTTCACCTGGTCTTGTGTTTAACCAAACCCAGAGTCACATACAACGGTAGGCAAGACAGTTCTACAAATCACAGACTCTGTGTAAGATATGGATGCAATATTGGTTTGTGGACTAAATGTTTTGAAGTATTAATTTTGGCTTTTTTTTTTTTGGTTGTCATCTTGGTTTTTGGGAGGGTGAAGCTTGCATGGAGCAGGGGGTTATCAAATAAGTCACCAGATATGATTAGTGTTAGCTTAGTTAGTGAGGTGCATGGGTTCTTCATGAGAACTGAGACATGTATAAGGATGTTAAATCGCTGAACAACACATTTTTTCTTACGATAGCAACTTCATTGAAATTTAAATTCATGAACAGATATCTGCATGTGCAGCGTACTTGACGCCTAAGAAATGATCAGTATGACCTCCAGTCAACAAACAAAAGTTTTTAAATCGTCTTCTCCTGTTGAGGAGGATATATTAGTTATTTTATGTTTATATGTAATGTTATAGTTTTTATCCATTGAGAGCAAAGAATCACAGAAGACTAACTCCAAATCAAGAAAATCAGCTGAAAATCCATCGAAAGATAGATGCTAGACCGCTCAGGCCAGCTAAAATGAGACGGACGTGTCTACAGATGGTTTCCTGTTTGTGGTGTCGCCCTCACCCTTTGGTTACTTTGCGCCGCCTCTGTTTCCTAGCAACCTCGACAGCTGTACTGGAACTAGCTAACATAACTTATGACACATTACCTAACCTATTATCTTAGTTTGTGACTTAATTGGTTGGGACACAGCTCGTCTGTAACACGCCCTGTGAGCTCTAGAAGTAACTGTGTAGCAGCAAAAGTGTCTTTTATTGTAATTTAACACTAAATGAAGATATATTAACATCTAGGGCGTTCATAATGTTAATGCATTCATTTTTATTATTTGCATTGATCCCTTTTGGCCACTGTAGCTAAGCCACCTCACAAACAGCAGCGTCTCCCTGTGGGCACAGTGATGGATGAGAAACAACCCCCCCCTGTGCGCCTTTGAACTGCTCGTTTCACTTCACAGACGTCTCAGTTGACGAGTCAAAAGAAGTGTTCACCTCCTGACATCAAACGTTTAGCTCTTTTCGTTTCCTGTTTGATCCCTCACAAGTTCCTATTTCCTGTGGTTAAGTTAACGTTTTCACCTTCAGTCTACCACAAGTTCCTAATATTATTTCAAAATAAAAGCAGGTTTGTATCCAAACAGGAAATAAAGCATCCTTAGCTAAAGACAGTACATAAATACAAAATAAAAGCAAAAAGAGACTTATTTGAAGTGCAAGATAATGGAATTTCAAACATGAGTAAAATGCGATAAATAGCAAATAATTATAAAATTTCAGTGTTTAATCAAGTATAAAAATAATTTGATAGCCCTGATAAAAACAAATTCTGTAAATTTAAAATGCACTAAATAACCATCGTTAAAAACAGTAATATGCTGTATTATGGAAATTTTGAGGAAAAAATAAGTGCTGCATATTACCCTCTATCCTCTAACGGTCTTATGATATTCGTAGAAATATTCACTTTTGCATTCAAAAAATGACTAACACTCTCATAAAACTAAAAAATCACAGCTTTTTGGTTATGTAACTTAAGCCTCTGTTTGCAGTCTGCTTCCCTGTGAAATCTTGTGTAATCTTCCTGTAATGTTTCCAAAACTGTAGACCAACACCGAGGATGCCTGCAGGCTGCTTCTTCTTTTATTCATCATTGATCTGTTTTACTCATTTCTATTTAATGTGGCCACAGCATGGGCTTATATAACTCATAATTCTTGAACGAGTATTTGCCCTTTGCTCCCGAGACCTAACCTAAATATGGCCAGTGCGTCAAGTTAGGGAAGGTCACTGAAATACTCCTCACATTGAAGTCACAAGCAGCAGGACACTCTGTCTGGTTTTATGGAACATTTGACACACTGCTGAGTTTGAATTTGCTGGTCAGTCATTAAAGGTAATATAAGTATATGTCCCTTTGTTCTGAGCCTGAAAGAGATATCTTTATTAGACAGTCTAGCCAATATTTTTTACGAAAAGATTAGGGCCCGACTGATGATAGACTTTTTGAGTCGATACTGAAATCAAGAATTAAAGATTTTTAAAAAAATCCAATACGGATATATCAGCCGATAGCGTTCTGAGATCTATGTTCAATCTGTAGACATCGATTGATTCAGTTATTCACATTTATTGCGTACAAAAAGGTTTATGAACGTGCATCACCGCTTCACACTCTGGAGGATGATAATGCTTGTTGTAATCCATATAGCGCCCTCTGCTGGTGACAGCCAGAAGAGATCTGCTAGTGTCGTAAAACAATACTTAAATGAAATTCTATTTGATTGGTAGTTAAATCTATAATATCAGTGCATATCTGATCAAATAAAATTAGCCAATACCAATAGCTACTGGATATGCTAATATCGGCCGATATTATCAATCGGTCAGGTTCAATATGAGATCATTTCACATTTTGCACAATTCTTTCTCTTAAATAAATTTTTCTAACCTAGGGTATGTCATGAGTGGGGCAACTTTCTGTCTGTGGTTGTCTCGATTAGAGGACTGACAGTTCAGTCCCTTGCTCCTGTAGTCTAGACGTAGTGTTCTTGGGCAAGGCATCTTAACCATAATGGCTTGGGTGGGTGGGTGATTTGTGTGAATACGATTAGCTTGATTATGTTGCAAGAATGTTGCTGTGTTGCAACCGGTGGCTGGTAGCTTTTTTCTATGTTCAATGTGGGACAGTTCCTTTTTTTGTTAGTACCGAGTTGCAACCTCCAGTGTTTAAAAATAAAGCCGAAGCAGAATTGTAACAAAAAAAATGCAGTTCAGCAAGTGTTGATTTGAGGCTTGCTGGAAATGCCCTGGAAGTCACATAACTAAACAATTTGACAGCAGAAAAAACAGCCTGGTTAAGAGGTATTCATGATAAGGGATGTGTCTCATCTGACTGTCGATCCATTTACAGATTACCATTTTATTCCGAACCAAAATGAAATAATATTGGACTGTGTTAGGTCTTGTAGCATCACTCATAAGCGTCACCAGCAGCCGTCACAAACTCTCAGTTGGGCAGTGAGTCCCTACAGTAAGACTACCGATTTGTTTCTGTGACCGAAAAGCTGGCAGTGAAGTTGCATTAGGTAAAGTGGGCACTGGGTTTGTTCTGGGCAAATTCAAATAAAAAAAGATAAAATCTCTTGCTCTGCTGAAATTATTATCCTATTTATTTTTATTTTTTTAAACTGATTCTGTCATTTTTAAGACAAGTCATTATAATCACCTCTTCCTGGGTTTTCCTTTCCACTTTAAACTCCCTGTCTCTGAAAAGAGAAAATGACAGCAATTAAATCTTTCTCTTGACTTGAAAACATCAAAGAAAATGAACACAGTCAGAAAGATAACTGCACCCCTGGCTGGTTCGTGCCATGTCCGTAATTGAGAAAATTAAACAAGCTTACACTTATACATGAATGCTTTCCCTTTGGCCGTTTTAGTTCCTCTTTGGGTTGGCACCGTTTCCTCACTGATTTACCGTCTGTGAGTCATGTGATGAACGTGGTCAGATCACTTCCCTACAGTATGGAGACCACAGGTCAGCAGGGCATTGTCAGCCTTCTTGCAGAAATCACCTTAAAAACTCCTGATATTTATTTATATGTGAACGCAAACAGCTGAATGTTTCACTCGGTCTTCACCCGGAGTTTCTCCTGCCAGACCCCCTTTGTATTTTTTCCGCAGCAAGTCCGACTGAGCTGATGTTAGAACGCAGAAGGATATTCTCCAGAGAATTCACCTCGAGCCAATCGGAGGGGTTTTATCCTGTGACCGGAATCAGTGCATAGACTGTATGCATAAGACCGCTAGGATCTCCGTGCACGTAATTGAACGGCTGCATTATGTCTGTTCATCAGTATGTTATTCTGTTGAACTACACAACATTGATGTAAAGGCAAATATTCTCATTATGGCGTCGTGTAACGGACCTTGAGGCTTCGTCTGCTACTTCTGCATTGTTCTTTTTCAGATTTAAAAATGAAAGGGTTGTCTTTGTGGAAATCAGTTTTGTCATGTTTTCAGTCAAAACTTCTGGTCTCAGCGATATCATACCATCCAGGAAATGTCTTTGTCCTAGTAGTGGCAAGCAAGACTGAGCAATGACTCAACAATTTCTCTGGCTTCTAAGAAATTCGAGAGACAATATCATGACTAACCTCAAATAGGGAAGCGAAGATTGGAGTTTGTGTGAACATGAAAAACATCTTGATGGAGAAATGCAGCACACACCATTCCTCACCCAATTTGCCTCTGACAATCATCTGATGACTGACACAGCATCAACAAATGATACTGCTGAGGACCAGCATGGGCGGAAACTGGAATAATAGAGGTGAACATTCCCCAGATTTCTCCATCATGACAGTGATTTGTGTGGTCTGCCCTTCTTTAATAGTGTCTATTTTCACACACATAAAGTACACACTCAAACACACTCATAAACCTCTGGCCTCTAAATATATCCTCCGCTGGTCCATGACACACAGGCGCTCACACAGCAGCTGTTCTGTGTGCATGACATCACAGCCCTGCCCTGCGCGTGCGTGTTGTCCTAGAACTGTATTACCGAGGCCTGAGATCTTTTCATGACCTCGTTTCTGATTTACAACCAGCAGTGAAACAGACCAATGACACTGTCAGAGCCAAGTTGTTCATTCCCCGTTCGACGAGCCTCAGCATGATAAGAGACTCCAGGCTCAGAGGTCAAGCTGCGGCCCTTTGATGCACTTCCTCCTGCCTGATTCCTGATCATTCAGACAGAGTCAACACAGAGGGTCAAGGGTCAGTGGGTTGTCTGGCTTTTTTATCGGGGTGGTCAAATTGGTTTAAACAAAGAACTGCAATCATTACTTTTAGACTGAATGCACAGATAGGCTGTGACCATCTACACATTAAATTATTCCCAATTAAGAGCTGGAAACCTTAAGTCAATATAGTACAAAGGTGAAGTCAATACCAAAAGCAATTCAAATGTCCATAAACATTCATTCTCACTGGACACTAAGCCTATAAACATTGAGATTCTCCTGACATCCTGAGACTGAGTCAGAAATGAACAATTCAAACTGCATTAAAACAAAACAAGCATTTTAAAAGTAGTTTGTCAGCCCTATCTTTCCAACAGGCCTGACAAAACATTGATACTTCTTGGTAATTGGTAATTCTTTTTTTTTTCAGAAAGTTAGGTTAAGTGAGAAGCAGGGATAATAATCGTCTTTCTTTGGAGCCTTTAAGAAAAAGCTAAAGACCCAGCTCTTTCATGAATACCTACTAACTTAATGATGATGCTCTCCATATTATTGATGATGATGATGGTAATGACGATGGTTTTTGTTTGATAACGATGACTTATAAGATGGTTTCTATACTGATTAGAGCTCTCAAGAACTGCCCTCAATGTTGTGCTTTGCCTCTGGTCACTTCCTGTCAGCACCTGTGTGTCCAATCAGACTCAAAGCTGATCGTTTGCTCTTACTGACATTGTTCCCTTTTTTTCTAGATCCTTGCTTGTGTTGTTCTTACTCTCTGATGTACGTCGCTTTGGATAAAAGGGTCTGCTAAGTGAATTGTAGAATTGTAGAAGCAAAATACAGAGATTTGGTTTGGTGCGCTTCGGCGCCCACCAAAGGTCTCTGAGCGCTCCTGCACTGTCATAAAACACACAGGGTGTTGAAATATCCAGCTTGGCATCAGACTTGTCGAGACATCATTTAGGGACCATAAAGTAAGACTGAAATAACGCCTGCCATCACTGATGTACAGTTTGGTGCTCACACAGTGGTGTGGAGAGCTTTGTAAGTTTTAGATGTTGACAAATCAACAAGACGTCTAATTCAGCTGGTTGATTTGTTGCTATATGTGACCAGACAGAAGCGATGTGATGCAACACATCTCTCGACCACTTTTAATATTTTCCAAGAAGCTCTCAGATGAAGAAAAGTTGGAGACCCTTAAGACCCATTCATCCATTATCTATGCCGCTTGTCCTGTTCGGGGTCGAGGGTTGGTGGAGCCAATCCCAGCTCTGATTGTGCGTAAGGCGGGGCTACAGGTCAAATGTCAATCACAGGGCTGACATACAGAGACATACAACGATTGAAGTGCCAGGGTGAAGGGAATATTCCTGTGTGACATATCAACAGAAAGACGATGGACTCCATAGAACCCACTGTCAAAGTTGCGTGAGTATGGCGAGCCAATGATGAGCTTTGCTTTTCGGTCGGACAGAAGCATGATGAGGGTCTTCATAGAAAACTCTGTCATACATTAAAGTCCTAATGAAACGGATCTTTAAGCATATGCCACGCCGTGCCGTATTTTTTAACTGAAACGGGAGAAGCAATCACAGCATAGATGGTGGAACATGAAGTTGTGATGAATTTGATCGGATGGTTAGCTTGGCAAAGCTTTTAAAAAATTGGTAAACGCCTCTGTGTGCAGGATGAGTTGTCCGACATTTCAAATGTCTTACAGAGAGGAAAAATACAGTAATTTCGATTTTTGAAATTTATTTGGCAGATAAATGAACATTTAACAAAATTTATTTTTTTGGGGGCCTGACTGGAATTTTTGTTGCCATTATGGATATGGAGGATAAAAAAAATCAGATACCGATATGTTGGCCGATATCTTTACAATGCTACAATTCTACAATTCACTTAGCAGACACTTTTATCCAAAGCGACGTACATCAGAGAACATCTTTCTTGGTTCTATCTTTGGTCTCTCTCTCATGAGATTGATAGATATTGCGTTGATCCCTCAAATAGAGTTATCAAACACTTGTGGAAAAGATATACAGTCAAATGATGTAGACTAGATGCTCACTCAACTGGAGAGTGAATCCCCGGTTGACATTCTGGAGGGTGATAATGCTTGTTGTAATCCATATAGCGCCCTCTGCTGGTGATAGTTAGAAAGAGAAATGCTAGTGTAATACAAATATACTGAAATGAAATGCTATATGACTGGTGAATAAATCGAGTAATATCGGCGCATTTCTGCGATAAAATTAGTCGATACCGATAGTCAATGGATATGCTAATATCGGTTATCCGATTAATCGGTCGGGCTCTAGTATTTTTCCTTTCATGGGGACTTTAATGTTTAAAAGTTATAGTAACATGCTAAACAATCAAATAGCAAAAAAGCAACACAGAGAAAGAATTCACCTAAAGTAGTGTGATTGTATTGTTGCACAATTTAATGTGCAAAGACACCGGAAAAGTAGTTCAACCACTAATACCTTTATTTGACTTTTTGTCAGACGTGATGGAGAGATTCGATTCCCTCTCAGGATGTAAACAGCCCAGCGTGGCGTGTTGAGTCGTAATGTAGGCATCTGAAACACACGTTTTATTATCAAAGCAAACATGTGCACCATAAATCAGGGTTACTATCTGCTCTCTGACTGTATGAATGACCGGCTGAGCTGCACTGTCAGTATACTAAAGATGTTTTTTTCCCCCCCTCAGCTGAGCTGGATGTCATGTGCTGCAGCCCATAATAACTGGCTTTTCCAGGCCTATGTGGGTTAATCCACTGTTACATAAGGCCAGCTCTAATGACTCTGTGTGTTTTGCTGCAGGTGATGGGTTTAATGGTTTGCATGCTGATTTCCACCTTAGAGTCGGACCAATGCTATGCAGGGCAAGAATAGATGGAAACCACACACACACACACACACACACACACACACACACACACACACACACACACCACACTGTCTGTGATAGAGGTTGGCTGAGGTAAAGAATTCCTTGTGGCCATTCAACCCCCGTCTGAGTGTATTTACTATTTATACCCCCATACAACAACACTGACCCTAAAAAAACCTTACAGCAGAAACTTACAGAAGTTGTTTTCACACATACACACTCGTGAAAATGTGTAGATAATTTCAGACAGGCTGCCCCTGAAATATTCCAGAGTTGCCTGTTCACACATGCACCTCACGACGGGAGACTATCCCTGTTGGACAGGGGCGAGGAAGGGATGGGTGGATGGGGGTGTTGTCCACAGAAACATAACATCACTGAAATGGTACACAAAGCATCCGATGGTTTGATGATCATTTTTGCCTTTGTGTCAGTAACACGTGTGATGTATTCACATATTAAACAAAGAGTGGAGAATAGAAAACTGTACAATAAACATAATGAAACAATGAAGCAGTTTAATTTAAAAAACATAATAGAGGAATTTGGGCTGCCTGCTTCGGTGCCCTTTGAGGGTCTCTGGGTGCAACTGTAACATAATGTTTTGACATAACCAGCCCCATGTCGGACTGTCATCCTTCTGTTTTTGCAAAGCGCTCAGCACCATGTTAAAAGCCTTTCCAATATTTTCATAAGTCCGGCTTCTTGCTCGGTCTTGCAAAGTTACATTGTGCTAAAAACAGTGACTGTGACTCTCTGTGGAAATGAAATGGATGGCATAAACAGAAGGGTGGTAGCTTTTTGTGGTTTTGTCTGATTGTGATTATGATTATTTCCCCTGTTACTGTCCGTCACATCCCTGACCCCGTGTATTGTGGGAAACAGGTCTAATGCAGAGGATAAAAGACATGACGTGACTTATACAGGTGTTATAGTCCTGACCAGGATCAGAGGCGGGATGCAGAGGGATCTGTTTCTTTGCATTTGGCATTTTATTTGTCAGTTCAGCTGAACACTGATGAATTAATGTTTGTTTTGTTACTTTTTTTGTATGTAGTGTTCCTCTTTGTACTTATGTGAAATTATTGAGTTTAGCTGCATACGACGAAACTTTCATTTGTGTTGCATACACATGTAGTGCAAACAGTACTGTAAATGCAAAATCTGGACACACAAAAAAATCTTCACTTGTTTCCACACACCTGTATGCATTTGGCTTCATGAAGCGTAAAAAAACATGTTGGGACTGTTTTGACTTTGAATGTATCATATCAGTGTTTGTTCGATGCCGAGTTTCATTTCTCACTTTGTAGAGTTTTGACTGAACAGTTAACAATCTTCAGTTTTTTAGAAATTAAGCCACAGTTTTATCTGAAATGTGTTTAAAGATTTTGGGGGAAACACTGTAATATGACCGGGCCTCTCATCCCTCTTGATAACTGTCGCGTGGTTGCTGTCTCACAGAGGACGTCCTGACTAAGGATGCTGGAGAATGTGCGATCTGCCTGGAGGATCTGGCACAGGGAGACACCATCGCTCGCCTGCCATGCCTCTGCATCTACCACAAAGGGTACGAACAGATCTCTGTTTGGGAACATTGTGCATCAGTTTTATATTCATACCCTCGATACGAGAGGATGAATGTACCAGAGCAGAACTCCTTCAGTGTTAAACTAAAAATGATTGTTGAGTAAGGTACAGGTGTGGTGTCATTTTTAATGTTTTGATAGTTTGAAAAACAGTATTGCAAAGTTATTATTTTAGGGGTAGGGGTAGACAACAACAGAGTAAGGATGTCAAATGTTTGATACTTTGATACCTTTTAATGCCACATTTTAAATGATACAATCTTTGTTTTTTAATGATCACTAGCTTTGAACAGTACTGAAGCTTTACAAAAACAACAGCTCTTTAGTCGTGTTTTAAACCAAACTTGCCGCGACTGAGAGAGAGCAGCGGTGGTCTAATAAATGTTTAGTAAATGTTTAAAGATGTTTGCACGGCCCATCTTGTAGACTGACCTGATAAATCCTCGATTTTACATTTTTACAAATCGGCCCCCTGATTTAGATTCTTCTGCATCATTCTGAACACTTACTTGAAAATTCTACCCCGAGTGTAATCTGTTTATTTAGGGTTCATAACCATGTGTTACTAAATACAAAATGTCCTGTCACAGTTGTGGATCTGTTCTCTGTTACTGAAACAGACCGCTGGTAGCCGCTGTCCATTAGAGAAATCCTCAAACTGAGCCGAGCTGAGCCTGGCCGAGGTCACAGGTCATCAAACAGGTCGACCTCGAGTAGCTGGACGCGTCCTTAAAAAAAAAAAAAAAAAGAACTTAAACAAACCTTGACGTGATAGAGTTTGATGTTCTGTGTTGGAGAACATCTGCAGCTTGTGTTAAACAATGCTTCTCTTTCTGTCTGGAGAAAGATGAAGACAGATAACGTGCAGGTTACTTTCCTCCCAATGCAGCGGTCAGGACATTAAGACTGTCACTTTATTTTAACTTTATTGCAAAATAAGAAGAATAAACATTAATATATGTTGAATTTAAAGTCAAAGTAATCACCCTTCTTTACCACTAGGTGGCACAATATCCCCGGAAACCAGCATCCTGATGATTTTCTGGTCACTCTGCTGTAACTCATCTCATCTCTTCTCTTCTTTGATTTTATTTTCAGCTGTATCGATGAGTGGTTTGAAGTCAACCGATCATGTCCAGAGCATCCATCAGATTAAAGCTTTTTTTTGCACAGGTAAAGTGTTTCTGAACATCCATTGTTTTTTTTTTTTTGTTTTAAGATATAATCTGTGGAATATTTCTACTGTTTTTTGTTCAGTGTCCTTCTGCAGGGTTGAGTATATCTTTATTTTAAGTCTTGATCATTTCACATTAGCATTTTTTTCTAAATTTGCGATGTTGTTTAAAATGCAAATAAAAGCAGAATGTGATGATTACTCGCAGAGCATTGGAACCTTATAGGAAACAAGAGAAAGACAACATATCCAATGTTGAAACTGAGAACATGAAGTGACCCATTATGAATTGAATGCCTGCAAAACATCTGGGCCAGGTCAGGTTTACCTCTACTGCATCACTTTTATGTTTTAACAACACTTTGTAAGTACTTTGGGAACTGAGGAGTACGGTGGCCGGTAGGGGTCATACGCTCGACAACCGCTGAAACGAAGCACATTTAGAAAAATGCAACAAATACACAGCTTGTCTGAACATTGTTACACAGGGTTTGTTGTTATTAGGAAAGTCAATAGACTCGATTATATTCATGGCTTTGTTCATTATCGGTTACATAGACCTCATTATGAAGAAAGACGATGATGAAAAATAATAAATATTTGACTTAAATCAAGGGAGGAACAATATGACTTAATGATCGATGACTAAAATGAAATAATACAGGTAAGAGCAGCAGTGGTGAGTTCACTTCCTCTTGAAAAAGCAGGTAAATTTCAGTTTTCTGAGGGCTGGTTTTTACTGTCCCATATTTAAACGACAAAAAACGAAGAAGAGTGAACGGAGCTCAAAGGTCACAGACATGTTGAGTGTTGTTAAAAACCTACAAAGAAGTCTGGAAAGTGGAATCATTGAACGTCTGAATTTACTAAAATGAAAAAATGTGTGTGAACGCCACCTGCTGGTTTTTTCTGCAGGTACTCTGGAATGAGAGCGATCTACAATCTGAAGTGTGGATCCACGAGACTGCTGGACACTGTGACCACTGTGATCAGTTCAACCCAATAATGTAGTACCACAGTGTGCCAAATCTCATTTAAGCAATCTTCAGGGAAACAGACTTTTTGTGTTTTTGTTTGAGTTGCACATTCACGCTCAGTCTGAGACTGGAACGGACTGACCTCCGCCTCGCGGGACACGGTGATGGGCGGGGGCCACTGGACAGCAGATATCAGCTGATTGTACACGTGGGACACTGGAGGAGGTGGATGTGGTCCTAGAGGTGGGGGGGGGGCAGGTGGAGGGGGGGGTGATGTGTGGATGACACCCTCCCCTCTCTGACTCTGCCCCATGCCTCCTTCTCAGCATCAGTGTCTACCAGTGCCTTGTTGTTGTTGTTGTTGTTGTTGTTATTGCTGGTGTTGTTGTGACGCCCGGCCACAGCAGTGCAGGGGACAGAGGAGTCCAGACTGTCAGCAGAGCCAGCCGGTCCACTGAGCCGACCTAACAGGACCATCAAACCACTACTGCCATCCTACCAGAGCAGGAGAAACAAGCCAGAGACAGACTGCAGCACGAGGATCCGTCTGCACCTGCAGCTCGGAACCTTTTTCAGAAACGAAGCTGCTGAAATTATGGTGCCAATCAACTGTGAAAACTGTCACACACACACACACACACACACACACACACACACACACACACACACACACACACACACACACACACACACACACACACACACACTTCATGAGTGCTTTTTAATCATATTCCAAGGAATAATGGTCCTCAGGTACAAAAACCTGTCCCCATTTGTTGAAAAGGATCCCATCAGAGTTTGGCTGCCTCCATGATAAACACATATTTGTTCAGTTTTTTTTTTTGTTAAAACAGGAACATTTTCTTGATTTAATTAAAGGGGTAGTTCAGATTTTTTTGAAGTGGGCTTGTATGAGGTACTTGTTAATAGTAAGTGTAATAGCCACAGGAGAGCGCGGTCAGTATAAACATACTGAGTAAACATACTGTGCAGGATAGGTTGAGTCATTATGCAATAAGAAAAAAATTACCAGCTGAAAAATAGTTTTGAGAACAAATCTCCTTTCAACTTTTCGAGTTAATTTGTGAAAGTTAGAAGAGCGTCATTAAAGTACGGGCGTTCAGTACGTCAGGGAGGTTCAGGCAAATGTGAGCTGAGTTTACAAACCTCTACCAGCAGGTAACTCACAACCTCCTCTTGTCCTTTCACAGAAGTGTTCTCCTCTCTCTCTTTTGGACCAGCTAAGTGGTCCCTCTGCAGAATCTTTCCCTCTGTGTACTCAGAGTCCATCAGAATCTCCTCATGTATCCACGGTAACCATCACGTCATAGTCACGCTGTAAAAACAGGTGGAGGTGGGAGCAGGCCGTGCATGAATGAGGACGGCGGTGGTTATGAGGAGGACACCGTCCGATGGTGGCAATACTTACATCCTCAATAGGCCTTTTCTGACCGCAGGAACTTCTTCACAGTTCCAGGAACTGTTGGAACCCTCCTCCTTTTTTACTGATTCTGCACTGCAGGAACTATGTACTATTTTATTTCCTAGAACCCCTGTTTAGAGTAGGTTTTATGGCGGTGTGAATGCAGACAGTAAAAAGTTCCCATGGTGTGTTGCCACAGTAAAGTGTTAAAAACAGCCCAGCGCTCCCGTTTAATAGAACATCTTTGGTCCTGTGGTCGCAGCCTATCACAAGCTTGTGTTATTGATGGGGGGGGGGGAACATGAGCTTGGGCTTGCTTGTCTGGACTCCGGTTGAACAATATAGTTGAATAGTCCCTCCTGCCCTAGTGGAGAGTTTCTCTTCAAAAAGTCCCCAGAACTGTTTGGTCAGGAAAACAGATAATGACTTCTTGGTTGGTTTTTCTGAAAACGAGCTGAATTACGTGATTACAAATGGCCCAGTCTGCATATAGCCTAGCTTCCATGCCTGCCCACAGGTCTGTCTCTTACTCAAGGAGCCGTGCTGACCAGCGTCTACATCATCTAACACAAATGCCTCATACAACCCAAACCCACTTAACCAAATCCAAACTCTCCTCTTGAAATAGTCTTCATGTTGTAACAGGATGTTTTTCATGTTGGAGATTCTCCTCAAAGCATCATCTTTTAAAGTTGATTTTAAAGAGACACCTGATATTTGTGTGATGACATATTGTTCTGATATAACTCAAAAAGGTGACATGTTATTATAACAGTGTAACGTCGTGGGTGTTTAGCAATAACAAGAATTATATGAGAACATGAAAAATGTTATTTTATGACATGAAATGTTTTAATGTCAAACAAGTGAGATGAAATGAGGAACTATTCTTAGGTTTTTTTGTCCATTTTGCTTCTTTTTTTTTTTAAAGCTGTTAAATAGCTGCTGTTGTTTTTATAATGTCTGTCATCATTTGAATAGACGATGTATTAATTATAGCATTGATCATTCTTCAGTTGCTGCAGAGATGATGGAACTGGTTCCCACGTTGAGAAAAGAAAAAATAGTCTTTGAAATTCACACTTTTTGCTGTTTCTCTCTTCTTTTGTAATGCAGAAAAGTAAAGACATTTCAGCGGATCTTTTGAGTCAGTGTGTTGCTTCTTTGACGTGTTTAAAAACAGATCCTCTGCTCAAAATCAGAACCAATGAAATGCTTCCGATCCAGAGCCAGAATAAAGCACCCTAAACCAATAGGGACGCACAAAGAAAGATCAAGTTAATTATGCACTGATGTGACTAGAGACAAAAGGAAGTCAATATGCTGGTTTCTCAAAAGAATAACCTTGAAATGATATTTAATGTGTTAAAATAAGAATGGTATTATCGTAAAACTTCTATTACTAGCCCAGGCTTTTATCTACTTAAGTCCAGGAAATGACCCGGCCTTTATTTGGGGCAGGCGTCAATACAAGACGGACTTTTCATTTATATCAAACAAAACTGGTGCGCAGCAAAGAGGAGGAACACGATGACATTGTAAATTTGCTCCATGAAGAAATTCTTGGCTGGTCCTAACTTCACATGGACACTTTACAAGGCAGCTGCAGGACAAAGTCTGGGCTCACCCTGAAATGATAGGAGTTTTTTGCAGTGGGGAATATTGTATTAGATTACCAGAGGTAGTTAAAGTGTTTTATTTGATTATGAATGCAACCAGCTATTTATAACAGAAGGATCCCTTGCAGAGATTGACAATTTCTAAAGAGTTGTTCTAACCAGGAATGTTTGCATTGCTCTCTACAAGGCTGCCAGACTCCATTGACAAAAACAGAACTTCCACTGTAAACTACACATTACCCTTGTGGTAGCTCCTTCACACAGGGAGTCTGAGTTAAGCTGTGACTGTTGTGTTTTAAATGGTTTGTTTGAGTCAAAAACAAATCCATGTTAAGTAAAGAAGCTCAATAAGTGATTGAGTGAAAGCCCATCACTTGTACCATTTCACAAAATCTGTTATTATGTGTATAGTATCGAGCTCTCTGAGACACTGGAGCATGAACACCCAAAGAAAATATAAAATATATATATAATATAATATAAGAAATATATAAAATATTGACACATCCAAATATCTCAGATGTAGGTGTGTTTGAAAATGTGGCTGCGGTTGAAAAGAAGAAGCATAACCAGCTTAGCTCACACCCTGACATGTGCACAGACAATGAACAAACATGTAGCAACGATATCACAACCTTTGGCGATAAGATCGAACCGACTGTAATAATAACGTGATCAACAGTTTGTGTCATATAGCCTGTAGCTCAAACCAATGTGACTGTTTCATCATACCAGAGTAAACCTGAGAGCCACACAGAGCTTCACTAAGCCCTGTCATACTCTGTACCAACCACACGGTGGTGATACAGAGTCAAGGAATTCTCAACTGAATCGACGTCTCACAGATCCTTCATCTTTACCCACCGTACCTCCCCGACCTCCTCCATCCCTACACCCCGTCCTGACACCTGGAACAGCACTGTAAGAAAACTACACAATAAAACAGTGAAAAGTAACGATTAGACCTGATACCTCGTGAAGCTGGGAGGGTGGATGTTGGGAGGGTATTGGGTTTTTATTTTTATATCATTGTTTTATTTTTCTGCTCTTCTATGCAGATGCTCTGACATACATGTGTTTGGACATCATGCTGAAAAGTCTGCAAACATTTAATAAAAAGATTCGATTTTTTATTGTTTTACTTGATTTAAGATTGGAATATAAAAATGCAAACATGTGATTCATATACACAAGGAAATAACATGACAAAACAAAACAGGAGATGAAATATTCACCATGAAATAAATACAATTCAGAACTATACAAGGGTAACTCATGACAAATGATGGACTTCAGTGTTTATGTAGGGATAGTTTGTGAATCCCCTCTATCTAAGGGCGTTTTCAGTTTGTTTGCCTCAATGCAGCACCTCAGAAACCCCTTTTCACTGAGCTGTTAAGTGAGCGAGAAGATTTCAGTGTTCTTGTGTGTTGTCGAAAGTTGTGATCTTATACACCAAATCTCATATTAAAAATATTAAAAGAATAGGGCCAAAGTTTGAAGATACCAAAGTTCCCCTTTATCTCAGGTTTTAGAGCCAGAGGTTGGGTCCTACTGCAGGAAGGTTTTGTCTATTCCATCTACTGAATCAGTGAAGCAATAGAGAGAGAGAGAGAAATGTTGTTGTGCTGGAAGGCTAACAACCTGCCATGAAGTTTTGGTCTTTCCATACCCTTGTTACCCAAGACCAGAACAGCTCAAGATCCCCGAATAGTATGGTCTCTTTCTGCTCATGTTAAAGGTTGAACTCTGTTCAGGATATGAAATATACAATTTAAAAAGACAGACTAAGACACCTGCCGTTAGTTGGGTGCAGCTTTTGGATACAGGGACGGCACTTACAAACAAATGGGTAAGGGCGAGGACATATTGCAACATGGTACTTGTGCGGTAGAAGTTTTTCTGCAGTTGCTTTACAAATCAAAGCTGGAAAACCGAATTTCAGAATTTCCCCCCCCCCGGGCTTAATAAAGTATTTGTACTGACGCTAGACGCGTAAATGCTGCAATGGAAATGTTATTGAGATGTTTTATTCCCTATTGCAGAGAGTCTGTTTTTGAGGAAACTGGTTAAAAGCAATGAATGTGGTTGCATGTTACAAATCTGGAAGGGAGGTGTTGCTCTGTAGAAGTGTTTTCAGTTTGATGTCACACACAGTAGTTGCAGTCCTCTACATTTGTACTCAATGCTTCAAATAAGTACTAAAGATATTGGAGTGTAAGAGCAAAGGACTCGTGCGTAGTGTGTTGTATTGTACATACTTCTGTGTGGACGTGTAATGGTGAGGGGTCGGGTCGAGTCGGGTCGGGAGGTGATTAAAAATATTTTTCCCAACCAAAGGGTCGCTGCAGAACACATGCTTAAACACATTCCAGTAGCTATGTAGAAAACCAACCACACCTTGTGTAACAGTCAAATATTAAATATGATGAAGTAACTTTTTTTTACAAAATTTATAAAAAAGAAAACATAACACCCAGAGTCAAAAAAACAGGTTATAAAGAAGGAAGTCATTGGTTTCTTTTCTTCCTCTTTGTCTACTTCCTTTTTTTGTTAACAGTCATGTAAGGCTGTCGGACATTTGTTAAACTTATACACACTTTCACACGTGGAAAGATCGTTTCAGACACAAAGAACGATCTGATGAATGTTTCCGTATTTTCCATGAAAGCGGAAAGTGCTCACCTGCAGTGAACACACACAGCATCATATCTGCCACACAAAACATTACTCAGCACACACACACGTCCGTCACGAGTGTCCGCTCAGTGGAAGAGAAGCCTTTTCTCTGCCACAAACAGTTTCTCTTCATCTTCAGAGAGCTGGTTTCCTTTCACACTGTGGGAACACAATGACTCACCATCAGACATATACTAGTGTTGATGCTGTGAGGGGGTTTGGCACTTTATTCATTGTAAGTCTTTTATAATTATTGAAAAAAGTTACAACATTTTGCCCTTGGGCTTTCCAAATGAAAGTTTGGGACATACGGGGGAAAGTCTGTTCTTTGCCATTTGTCTCTGTTTATTCATGTTTATTTTCTATGCTGTGGTATTCCAGGAGAGAGAGACAATTCAATCTGTTTTTGCCTCTTTGTCTGGTGTCTTTATCTTTCTTTTGATATGTATATATTATTCCTCTCTCCTGTATATTTGTGGGTTGTTGACGAAACCAAACATTCCGTTGTTTCCTTGTTGTAAATGACAATGTCAAACGTCAATAAAAAATGGATCAAACATTTCTTTGAGAAAGAAAAAAGCAGAAAGGATGTAACACCAAAACAGATGTTCAGAATGTGCAAACAGTTAACACTTGGTCTGATACTTTGGACATGTCTACTCTCCTGAGAACACATTATCTGTGTGAATCAAGCAAGCAGCATCCTCCGGCAATTAAAATGAAGCCGATGCAGAAGTGCAAAAAAAATGCAGTTAGGGCGCACCCACACTAGGCCCCAGCTGCCCCGTACCGAGCTTAAGCAGGATTTCCCCGACTCCCCATTCCCCCCTGCTGGCCTGCACTCACACTGCTCCAGGACTAACCGGGCCTGAGCACTTCTTGTACAAAACATCGTGATACAACTCATGCATGGCTTGACGTGATCATCATGAAGCATGCTCACTTTACAAGACAGGAGGGTAAAAAAAAAAAATGAAAAAGGGACGCGCTGTCAAGTCCATGTCTTCAAATCTGTCAACAAAACAGATAATGTGACAGCTACTGTACTGACTTTTGTTGCTTATTTTGAGTCATTTTAATTAGATAAAAGCATAAAACTCCAGGATTTCTCGATAAAAAAGGCTGTCCACATTCCATGCACGTGCTTGTGCTTGGTACAAATACTTATTTTGGTATGAATAGGTCATTTCATTGTTGTTACACACTGTACAGGGAGTGAACTTATCCATTTTGATAACAATAAGGCCAAGAGCTATATGCATAACTAGGGGCATGGCTGATCTGATTGTAGCTGTTTTAACAGGAGGTTACTGTAGGATAAAGGTCTGCACCAGCTCCACTTCTCCGTCTGTTTCTGGGTAAACAGGAAGTTCAGGGTTGACTTGTGTTTGTATTTGTTTTTCAAACTTGGTCACTCCTCACAGTTTGATTTAAATGCAGAAATTTGAGAAATGTTCCTGTGCTGGCAGTTTCAGGTTCAACCTCAAAAATCCCAAAACGCAAAGATGAAACTGAATGAGTCTGAGGGACGAGGACCTGCACAGTGCAAGCTATACCAATTTCAGACGTAGCCTTGTTTGAATATGACTTCTTATTAAGGATGGAGTTTACACATTACTAAAATTAAAGTCTAGCACAGGCTGAGATAGTTCCAACAAAGATATAAGCTCCAACTTAACTGTGAGAGCTAGCTCCTCCTTCAAATACGGTTGTCATGGTGACTCATTTTGAAAGGTGGGAGAACTTGGAGGAATGAGGAGGCGCAGAGGCGTTCTCCGCAAATTTTTAGTCATCAGGTTCACCTCTTGACATGACTGTAATTTACACTCCCTAATAATGACTATAAATGTCACGTTCTCTGTGTTGTCCTCCGATGTGCGGACACAGACTCGAGTGCCCGTCCCTTTTTTTTTTTTCCTCGAGTCCGTCTGTCTTGTAAACTGAGCACCCTTCATATTCACATACAGCCATGCATGAGTTGTGTTACAAGGTTATGTACAAGAGGTTACAGTGGGGGAATGAGGAGGGGGGACAATCATCCACGGTACAGGACAACTTTGTCTAGTGAGTGCGCACTAAGTCACACACCTAATTGTGCAAATGTATGCATGACCTTTATCCTGAATATAATCAAAACGAAAGACTTGCAATATACCCCCCACCCCCTGGACAGTGTGTCCAAATGAGGAAATTAGCTATTGATACTGAATTCATTGTTGGAAAAAAGGTGTAAACATTTTTATTTCTACTCTAAAATGGATATTTGAATATATGACCTAATGAGGATTTGTTGGCTTTTGTAGCCAGTGGAAACTTGAGGAACTACAGTTTTTTGCACTTCCGCATTGGCTTCATTTTTGATCAGCACAAACATCTGCTCACTGTAATTTAGTATTATTCTGTTACTGTCACATGTCATGGATGTTCAGTTTCAAAGTCTTCCTTTAACTGGAATGGCATGGTAGAAATATTTATAAATCATTTCCTGAAATCATTTTGATTGGTGGTTTAAATTTCAATACTACCACAGATAAATCTGCTCTATAATAAATCTGAGGTAAGTGTTACATCATTAAGAGGTATTTAAAGGAAAGGAAGTGCTGAAGAGTCACAGTGAATGCCTTACAGTCTGATCCTTACCATATCTCTTTGAGTGCTTTGTTGAGAGTCAGGGCCTCCGAGAGCTGTCTGATCCCGTCCACAGTGAACTGGTTGTTGATTAACCTGCAGATAAATGGACAAAGGAGGCGAGTGTCCGTCAACCGATGTCTGATCCTTAGTGACATCATGTTAGTGAATCGATGTGTGTTTTTTTCATACCAGAGGTGGCTTAACCCTGTGTTTGCCTGGACCAACTCAGCCAAGTGTGGTGCTGCATCATCCGTCATCTCATTCTGCACCAACCTGCCACAGCACAGACATGTTCTTCATCACAGATATGTTCTTCATCACAGTCCTGCAAGAACGCAAAATAACTCCAAAACAAGTGACCTGCCTACCAGAATATCCTGAGGACCGTGTTCTCTTTCAGTGCATCTGCCAGGCTCTTCCCTCCAGCAGATGTGATGCAATTGGCTGAGAGGCTACACAACGCAAAGGCAGATGATTCAATTACAACCAGTGAGTTTTTTATCTGTAATTTCTTTTGTCTTCATAGGACGTTGTTCTCTCACCTGAGGTTGGTAAGGCTCGGGTGGTGTCTCAAAGCATCTGCAAAGGCTTCTGCACCCTCGTCTCCGATGCTGTTGCCCCACATTCTGTGAGAAGAAACGTCAAAACTGTCATCAGAACTCTTCTTAATGCGGGGACGCCGGTAGACTAGTGGCTAGTCTGGCACCCCATGTACGGAGACTAAGGTCCTCCAAGCTATGTGATGAGGCTCTTCAAGGCAAATGCAGTTTTTTTTTTTTTTTTATTCCTGGGCCATATTTCTACTGATTAACTCCTCCAGTACATAACACAAAACACACTTGCAGATTGAGACAGCATCAGTCCAGCGTCTCACATATCCATCAGTTCAACAATTACTCTTTTGTCAATGGAGTGTGGTAGCTTTACAGCAACATTACATCTCTGGTACAACTTTTTTTTTTACCTATAAGCCATTTAGACAAAGTAATATTGAATAGAAATAGGGCCCAGGTTTGACAGAATTCCCTTCTAAGCTGAACCCCCTAAACCCATCCTCCATTAATCACCTCAGTTGATATTAATATCATTGATTGTCCATTGACTGGATTTCACTGTTTTTGGTAGTAAAGCAAAATCCGTATTTTTCAATTGTCTGATGTACAAGTGCAAAGATGTTGCAGAGGCGACAGCAGTCTTACCCCACATCAAATATAGAAGTGCTCTTCTGTATCGCCCCGGCCAAAAACCTCCCACCGACAGCAGTGATCCTGTTTTTACCAATCCTAGAGACAAAGACACAAGACCGTGACCTATTCATTTTTTTTTTTTTTTTACAATCACTGAATTTCAAATGAAACTGAAAAAAATATTTAAAAAAAACCTACTTGAGAACTCGCAGCTTTGGACACTCCTCGATTATCTGAGCAACCAGCTTTGCTCCGACATCAGTGATGTGATTGTTGTAAAGCCTGAGGACGAGAGCAAAAGGAGCAAAAGGGAATGGAGGTCAAGGCTAAGGTAGGCAAAAACATATGACATTGTTACATTTGTGGAAACTGATTTTACATCCTGAAAGCAAACTATAAAGCACACCCTACTCATAAATGTTGTTGAAAAAGTTCTTGAGAATGGGTGGTGTGCAGACTATTTGAGATAAACACTGGAACAGCATGTTTACTCACCCCAAGACCTCAACAATTCTGTGCTTACACAACTCCTCTGCAAGAACCTCCATGCTGCTGTCAGACAGGTGATTGACACACAACCTGAAGGAGAGCAGTTTGATGAATAATAATAATAATAATAATAACTTTATTTATATAGCACCTTTTAAAAACACAGGTTTACAAAGTGCTTTGACAAACAGCAAGAACAAAGCAAACTAAACCAAACACAGAAAAACATTAACAACAGTAAGAATATAACAGATGCAAAATACCAAAAATAATTAAAAACAATTCAACAGAAAAGAACCCAAAGTGCACGATACACAACCAGACATATATAACCCAACCATCATAAGAACCATCATAAGAACCATCATAAGAACCCAGGAACACAAGCTGAGACCAAGAGGACCAAAGATTTAAAAAGATGTAAGAAACTAAGAGATAAAAGCAAATAAAAAGCAATGAGAAGGTAAGCGCAGTAAAGGAAATAAAAACAAGTGGTTAAAGGATCAAAAAAACCCAAAACTATAATATTAATAAAAATAAAAATTAACTATAAATACGAAACATAAATAGACAAAGTAAGTAAGATAAGAAATTACCAAGTTAAAACACAAGAGGAGATTAAGATATGAGCATAAATACGAGATAAGAGCATAAATAAAAGACAGTAAGAAGTAGAAGAAGATAAAAATAGTAAAACCAGTAAGAGAAGACATGAAGAAGACGACATCACGAAAATGATCGAAACATACAGGTGCATGAACCTTCCTAAATCTACAACAGCCCGAATAAGACATACATCCATGTGTTTTATTTTTTGGAGTTTGAGAATATAACAAGGAATTCATTTTGGGCATTATCTTTTCAATAACTGAATATTAGAGGAGAGAACTGTCAGAATTAGAACAGTTTTGTACTTGTTGGTGATGATCAAAATCTTTATCATTCTGCTAATTAACTTACTCAGATTCATTTACAAAACTTCACTAACCAGTTATATCATCTTATTAAAAAAATAACATTGGAGCGCCGGTGGCCGAGTGGTTAGGGCGCCCACGTAAAGAGGCTGTAGTCTGGGTTCAAATCTGACCTGTGGCTCCTTTCCTGCATGTCATTCCCCACTCTCTCTCTCTCCCTGATTTCTGACTCTATTCACTTTCCTACATCTACAATAAAGTCATAAAAAGCCCAAAGCTTTAAACATGTTCAAAGCTCAGACATTAAGAACAAAAACTTTCCCAACAATAAAAAAGCACATATTCAATGGATTCTACAGAAGCCCAAGGCGGACACTCATCCATACATTTTTAATTAACTGCTCTTTCCTGTGCCACTAAATGTTGGTCGTTCTCTCTATAGATCTGCTCTTATTGATCTCATCACCGGATAACAACGCTGGTTTCCTCATGTTGATGAGTTCATGTCTCGAGATATCAAGGAAGCAGCAGAAATGGACTCGATATAGCGGGAAAAATCAGCATTGTTATCCTGAGATAAATAGTCAAGATTAAAAGATGTTGGAACTAAATACTTTTTTCTTTCATATAGGACAAATGCTCTTTAAAAAAACTCAATTACTTGTTTTACATCAACTGTGGGCTCTTTCCCCCAAAATATCTTTTTACATTTTACATTTTTTTAAAGATCCCATATTCTGCCCTTTTTGGGGTTCATACCTACTTTTGTACATTCACAATAGCTAAAGTCCGAAAAAAAGTGTCTGTTTTCATGTACTGCTCCTCCTTGCTTCCTCTCCACTCTGAGTCCGTCAGCTACGCTCTGTTGAGCCCACACTGTTAGACCCCACGTGGGCCAAGTCTGCTCTGATTGGTCTGCCGATCCGCTCTGTCGTTACTGGTCAGTTGCTCAGCACGCGTCTCGGAAATTTCAACATGAGCTGCAGTGCTTGCCACAACGAGCTCAGCTCAGTGATCTCACACTGACAATGACGCCGCACTGACAAATTTTTATCGAGGGGGGCTAGAACCGAGCGTTACATGCGGCTAATGCTACAGCTAACAGGAGGACGTAGGAGAAGCTGCGTTTCCGCGGACTGAATTTTTGCACATAGATGTGCCTAAACATGCACAGGACACTTGGAAAACACACTAAAGGGCATATAAAACCAGAAAAAGCATAATACGGGGCCTGTAACTGGTGACATTTTGTTCTGTTGGAATACAGTTTTGAGAGCTCACTTTTTGCAGTGCAGGCCTTACCTCACTACTGTCATCTTAGAAAAGGAGGGCGTCAGCTGCTTTACCCCGTAGTCACTTATGTTGTTGTTGTCCATGTCCAGCCCCATGAGCTTTTTGCGGTGCTGCAGCACAAAGTTGATGGCCGTGCAGTCGCCTGAGAACACGTTACAGTAACCCAGCTTGATGAGGTTGGCTGTGATGCCCTTCGCCGTCATCTGAGCGATGTCTTTGCTCCCAGTCTCAAAGATACACCTCAGTATCCACAGGAAGTTCGGTAAAACATGGACCTTCTTGCCCTCGTTGCTGTTGTAGGGGGAAAGCCCGCTGAGGTGGGACTTCACACTGGTGGAGAGGTAGGACTTAAGTAAGACTCGTTTCTTCTTTAATAGCACAGGAGACACCAGATGCTCCATCAGGCCCGTGTGAGCCTTCGAGAGCAGGCCACACAAAAACAGGTTAGTAAACTGTAGATGCTCATTGGTTGCAAACGGCTTCTTCTCGCAGGGCTTTGACGAGCCGCTGATACAGAAGCCAAAAGGCAGACACGCTGCGTCTCTCTTCCTGCTGCACTCTGTGAAGAACTTCAGGATGGAGCTCGGAGCGTCCTGATCATCCAACAGCAGAGCAAACGCCGCCAAGAACGACTGGAGTGTGATATGGAGAAACTCAAACATGGCCGGGCTCTCGCCGGCGTCGCACTCACTGACGGGTCTGAGGAAGCCCAGTGGTAGGTCCTCCTCCGCCAGGCCACACGCAAAGATCTCCTCCTGGCTGCAGATGAAGCTTCCTCTCTCCATACCTTGAAGCGCCAGCTTAGCAAACGCGGCAAGAGGCCTGAGCCCTCCTTTCAGCGTGTCCGAGGCACACCGAGTGCTTTTCTTCAGCAGGGATGGCGCAGCGGTGGACGAGCGGCTGAGGAATACCTCACACAGCATGAGGAAGATGTCAGTGAGCGTGATGCTCGTCTCAGGAAGTTGAAACCGGTCATGCATGCTGTGCAGGTGCCTGAAGCTCTTGAATACGATCCAGCAGAACAGCGGGGTGGAGCACAGGCCGCAGAGGTGTGGGCTTGCATCCAGCTGAACCTTCACCAGCTCTTGGATCTCCTGCTCTTTAAAGTGCAGGTCAATGTAGCTCTTCAGGTGAGCAGGGGAGAACCCGCGCAGGGTCACCTTCTTCCTGATCACCTTGCTCTGGATCTCAATCCCCGTCCGGGCCGTCAGCACTTTCTGGGAACCCTTGAGCAGCTTCCCGCTGAGCAGGCTGACGAGCAGTTGGAGCGGGTGCGCCCTGTCTTCCGGTGACACCACTTCAAGCACGTTGATCAGGTCTAGATCCTCCTGGATCTCGTCGTAACCGTCGAACGTGAAGATGACCTTATCAGGGAAGCGCAGGATGTAATCAAACACCTCGCTATCTGGATCTTGGTCTGGGTAGCAGTTGTGTTTGAACAGCAGGTCTCTGAGGGAGATCTGTTCCGCCTCCTTGAAGCTGCTGAACATCCTGCAGCGGAACTTAAAGAAGAAAATGGCGTCCGTGTGTAGCTCCTTTTTGGACCAGAGGTTCTGGAGCTTCTGCAGGAGGATGGACTTCCCCACACCAGCATCCCCCCTCACATAGATGGTTTCACCTTGGGGATTGAAGACGGCCTGGTCGTCCAGGAGCCGGTCCAGACTCTCCAAGAAGCCCAGACTTTCATTGGATTCGTTCAACAGTTCAACCATGGTGTCGGTGTACAGGTCCTCCAGACGGGTTTCCTCCTTCTGGCCATACGACATAATGAAGCTGGTGTCCCGGCTCATCTCGTGCCTCAACTTTTCACAATACCTGCTGACTGAGAAGAGGTAGACAGTGAATGATAGTGATAATTGGAACCAGAGTCAGTTGAAGAAATCCTAATTTTGTATTTAGGAACAGAAAACTCAGTTCAATCCAAAAAAAAGGACATGATGTCTTTCAGTGTTTGAAGTTTTTCTAATTTGTCTACTGTCAAAACAAGTTAAAGGCACGGTGTTTGGTATATCAAAGGATAATCGTGAGAACAGATGAGACGATTGTCCAAAACAACTTGCAGTGTCACCTTACTAATAGAGGTGCTTTATTTTGAATGGTGAGAATGTGAGGGATCTTACTGAAGAAGAAGTGAAAGTACAAAGTGAAAGTACAATGACATGCTTTGACCTAATTGCAGAAAACATGACTCAGCTTCTTTTTCTTTTTTTTTGCCATCGTTCATCTCAAAAAGAGCAAAATGGATCTGTGACTTCTTTAAAGAAAAAGTGGATTCAGGTCTAATGCCGGGCATACACTGTACGATTGTATGAACATCATGGTGCACTGTCATGAGTGAATCGATTACTAAACGCACAACCAAAACTTTTGAATTTGAGTTGAGTACTCACTGCTCACATTGTACGGTCCGAGCCAAAACGTGTCGGTCTAACTGAAGTTGATCTTTTTGACCTCTTCAAACCTTTCACTCTTCATGCACCTTGACAGCTGGTGAAGTTGTGGCAGCAAATCCCGCTCTGCTTCATAGATCAAACTATCAGCAGACATTTGGTACATCTACTGCTCTATTTTCTTTCTTGAAAATAATAAAACATCACATTTAAAGAGACTCCTCATTGATCTTTTTTAAGGTGACATGTCTCTGTACCATCACCGAAAAATACAGGCTCCAAATAGAACTAAATAATAACCTCAGTTCTGATTTATTGGGATGTATTTGTCTTAGTTATGTATAATTACTAATTAACTGGAAACACATTGTACTTTTAGAAGTTTATTTTTATGCCTTTATTATGAGACACAACAGTGGAAAGAGTTAGAAATCAGGGAGAGAGAGAGAGAGAGAGCGAGAGAGAGAGTGGGGAACAACATGCAGGTCGGATTCAAACCAGAACGGCCCGCTCTGAGGACCACGACCTCCATACATGGGGCACGCACACCAACCACTAGCCTACCGGCACCCTGACACAGTGTATTTCTTATCCATTTGCAGCTTTAAAAAAATCACATAGTGACTGATCTTTGGGCCTTTAATTGACATAATCATGAAATCTATGCAGAGTTAAAAAAAAGATCATGTTGGTCGTACAAAGCGCCATGAGTGATTTGAATACTTACTGGGATCCGTGTTAACCACTGTCATCAGTGAAATGGTATTGCTTGGGTAGTAGTTGAGGTCTTGCAGCCATGGCTGGAGGTCTATGTATGCATCACGTACTTTATAAATGATGTAAATAAAGAATTCACAGGCCTCCTCTCCTTTGCATTGCACCAGCTCCAAGATTTTGCGCACCTACAAAACAATCCCCTTACTTTAATTCTTTACCACCAGATATAACACAGAGATTTTTTTTGAATGAGTGTTCATCAGATAGTTTTCCTACCTGCTCCGTCTTGGTAGCAGTGCGCTGTACGATCTCCACATCTTCTTCACAGACGAAGCCCGAGGCTAACAGGTTGTCCAGGATGCATTGGACGCTCCTCAGCCGGCTCACCAGCAGCTCTCTGTGGTGGGTGAGGACGCCCAGGCACGACACATTGGCTTCTTCTTTCTTACCCATGTTTACTGCACAACAGTCACCTCTGAAGAGAGAGAGACACACTGGACTGTGACTTGCGTTAAAGAATGTCAAAATGTCTTAAAACAAACAGAAAACAGATTATTATTTTTAAAGATTATACTTTGTGACTATACACTACATAGTTAAAACATTAAAACAAGGGATGGGAATCACCAGAGGCCCCATAATATGATACTATCACACTACTACATATATTGCGATTTTACTTTCTTATCTGCATATAATCTGTCCACAACATTAAACTAAATCACAAACTGTTTTTTTTGTTTTTGTTTTTGTTTTAAGAAAGTCTCAGTCTATTCAAATAATACAAGTACATCAACATTCATATGATTAATCACGATTTATAATAGCCTACATTTTCATCGTTGAACATATGACGTTCGAGTGTGGGACAAGGGCAAAACAGTGATATTAAAATGTTGATAAAGTTAAGTAAAACACATATTGGAGAGAAGGTAAACGTTTTTAAGACAGTTTTATTGTTCATTAATCAAAGAGATTGATTTTTTGGGGGGGAAAAATTGTAATTATTTTTTTTAAATATGACCTAAGGACATGAAAGTGCTTGTAGTCAAAGGACCACCCTTCTACGACACACCTCAGATAAAGGTGCTAATCTAATTGTAATTGTAGGGTTGTTTCAATGTTTCAACTTCTAGTCGATATAATTAATAATGTCTCTGATAGTTAATAATTAAGCGCTGGGGGTTTAGTATTCACAGATTATGGGTTTAACAGAGGAATTCCTGGGATGAGTGACAGGTCAAAGAAAACAACATCATTAGCTGTGTTTGTTTAGTGTGTTTTCTAATCTTATCCGAGATAATATCTAAACAAACTGAAAGCAAGAGGAAACAGAAAGCTACTTGCGTCAAATAAATCCTACCATTGTGTTGCGTCCCCGTCAAAGAGCTGCAAACAAAGAACAAAAAACTGTTTAAAGAAAAGGAGCGTTGAAATGACTTGGTTGTTTTATAATAAATGAGCCGGTTAGGCTACTTTGTGCTCGTTTCATCACTGCTATCAAAGCTGCTGGTGTAGGAAGTGGAAAGTACTTTGTGTCATTGCGTCAATTCTCTCCATTATTTCACAACCGGCCGCGTTGCATTCAGGTACCCACGGAAATGTGGGGATTCAAGTTATTTCAAATATTTTATAAACCTTTATGGGGGGAAAAAAATGACATTATGGGCTAAATATTATCAATTAAGCCAATCAATTAAGTATCCTTTGTTCTCAACTCAGCGCAAAAGTATTTTTTTATTTTGTTCATAAAAAATAAAAATAAATGCCCAGAGAGGCAAAGGCGGAAAGAAAATTCTCGTGATCCCTTTCATCAGAAAAGAACAGTATTGCCTTTTTGAGCAGTTTTTAGAGAAGTTTTGGTGATAGATGCAATGGAGACTTAACCTGAAGCATTAAGAGGTCAAAGTTCATGACAAACGTAGCCTAAGTATTTTTTCAGTAAGAAACAAAACAAAAAAACTTCCAATTAAAAATGATATAAACTAAACAAAGGGGGTGATCAGAGGTCGTGGGGATGCAGCCTATCATTTAAAGGTTGTGCAACTTACCCACCACTTATTAACCCACTGCAGTCAACAAACTAAGCAAACAGGTGAGAAATGGAACCACCTGTAGACTCCACCACAAGCTGGAGGAGGAATCACCAAATGTATCAGGCGAAGAAAACACCCAAATAATCACTTCAAAATACAGTTGGTTGAATCTAAAATAATAACTATTGTCTCAATTACTGCAACAACATCAGTCGAATCAAGGATTAAATAATAACAAACATTTCTGCAAAAGAAGAAGTAAAACGTCAGCTTTTAAAAGCAACACAAGGACAACACATTACAGGTTTATAACATTGTAAAAACTATGTAATGTGTTACCCATGCAGGATCAATAGGGTGGAAGATATCGCCTTAAACTTGTGTCACTGTATTTTTACTTTACTTTTTTGCGTTAACTGTATCACTCTTAGAAATTGCCCTGTTAAAAAACGGTAAACAACTGGCAGTAGGGTTGCCAGGAAGTTACTGTAAAATTAACGGTATATTGCTGTTGCTGAAATTTACAGTTTTCTACCGTTTTTGTAAATACAGCAGAAAGCTGTTATTTTAAACCTTAACAGGAAAATACTGTTTATTTACACTTCTTCACAGGAGGTATATTTGCAGATTTTTACTGTGAATTGGATGACAATCTGACAAAGTCAACTCCACTGTCCTTTCAAACATTTGGTCTGAACTTCTTTTTCCCAAAATGCATTGCAAAAACTATGGTAAATTACCGTTTTGTTTCCTTCAGGCAATAATACAGTAATATATTGTTAAAAACCGTTATAAAACTCCTGTATTTAAACATAACAGGACCATACTGTTGAAATTTCCTTGTAAATTTACAGAAATTTCTAGTGTAGCCTATTACTGTACATCACAGTATTACAGATGATTTTTTTTTTTTACTTTTTAATACAGTGTCAAAAATACTTGGCTAGTAGTCACTTAAGTGAGTAAATAAGTGAGTAAATAAGGATGTCTGATATGAATAGCTTGGTGAGATAGCAGCTGAATATTTGTGTGGGAACAGAGAGAGAACCACTGAAAGTCACTGAGCGTTTTTTAGCAGACTTGTGGACTCACTGATATTTTCTTTGAACCATCTACCTGTTCTGCTTACCATGCACCTTCTCACCGCTCTCTAAATCATTGTGTTGGGAGCGTGTGTTTTTACTCCAACAGATGCATTAGTGTCCACATGGGGGCAGTACTGAGTCTCTGCTGTGTGTAAAGCAGTTAAAAACCTCTCATCTCATTTAGTAAAAATACTTGTTTATTGTGATGAAAGCATAAATAGGACTGTCTCACAGGTGGTACATGTTTTTTAGGGAAAACATTAATAAAAAGTCTTTGACATTATTGTTATTGTGCACCGAACAAAAAGTCAACATCACAAACACACAAACACAAACACACACAGAACACATGGTGAATCCAACACACACTCCGTACAAACACAATCAACAACATTGCATTATCATTTCAGTGACATAAAAAAAAGGAAATTTCTTCCCCATCACTGAACATAGTGAGAACTTTTCAAAGGAGACGTGGTTTTATGAGAAAACTTAGGTCAAAAGAGTCGGCCATGTTGGATTGGATTTCACTAGTAAACAATGCTGCCTTCAAAGACAGATTCTGGAGTGTGATTGAAGACTGTTGAATCTTTAAACTACACTTTAAAAAAAAAATTAGATCTTTATCCACTGTACAAAAGAGTAACAACTCAATAACTGTTCTGGATTATAAAGGGCTAATTCATTTTATGAAGACAGAAGTGTAACACAGCGAGTAGTTGAGATATTACATTTTAAAGGAGTGAGATGAGTGTTTAACACTTTTCAATGTGTGCAGAAAGGGCCCCCGCTCTGTGGGCTCTCGACCCTCATAGGGGCTGCAAATTGTTTTTTTGTCCAATTCTTATGAACATCCTTTGTATTAAGTCATTGTCTAATTGTTTGTCATTTTGTATCGTAGTATAAAAAGTTATTAGTGGATGACGTGGATGAAAAGCGGACACGTTGTTGTAACCAACACAATGATCTAATCCCAAACTTTGCCTTAGTAGTCCTGGTACCTTCACTTTAAAATGTTTGTTTAGGATCAGGACAAGAACATGGATCATCAGGGCTTGGGCTTCTCCTGAGGGGAGCTGATAGCTGTTCATCAAACAGAGACTCAAATTATCTACTGATGCATTTTTTATGAGCTACAAAAGCAAACAAAACCACCAGAAAGAAAACGGATTATTTCCAAACAGATCATATAAATGCCTGAAACCTTTGCTGTGGTGTAGTTGTAGATGAAACAGTATGGAAGCCTGAAAAGGACATACACACTACAGCACTAATGTAGGTAGGTAAGTTGAGTCTGTTTCCATTTTGCAACTCTGAGAATATGAGCTAAATCAGTCAAGATCTCAAGAAAACAACCGGACATAACTCGTTATAACGGGAAACTGGAGTAAATAATATATATGGATGCATGTTTGCTTGGGGCTTCTGAACAAAACATCACTTTTTAAAAACACATTTTCACAGCAAAGCTTCTGGATAAGTGATATATTTGACTATGATTTTATTTTATGGGGTTCAATAAACATTATTAACACATGTCGGGAAAAGATCAGCAAAAATATACAAGAGGTACCACTTTGTCCACAGGGGGGCGCAAAAATTCAAACAAAAGAAAAGCTTGAAATAAAATGTCAAAATCACATCGAGAGAGCGAATGTGCTTGTGCGAGAGAGATCTAGGGTTACCATTGGAACCTCAAAAGATCCCGCTCAGCAGAAATTTGCGCAGCTAAATTACTTTTAGTTTTAGTTTATGGATCTTGTGTGGTGATTTTTTGATTTAACAAAGCCTCGTAATAGAAAAATCTGATGGCAGATGAAAGGGTTACTGGTCTGGTTCTTTGTCTTAATTCTTTATATAATGCTCTTTGTGTCCGCTGTGAGCACTGTACATGTCGGTAAAAAAAGTTCCAAAGCTAGTAGCTCAGTGGTGTAAAAGTTTTATCTTTAAGAATTAATGAGATGAAACCAAACGCTCAGTGAAGGAACCACAAAGTGGACGCTAGGTAGCATCCAGCGAGAGCTAAAGCTGCTGCAGGTCAGTGTAACAGAGATGATCGCATCTCTTTTTCTTATACCACATACATCCACCACGGATGAAAAAGGATCAGTCACAGTCACGGAGCCGGCGCGGGTCAGATCTCACTCTCGTAGGTGTGCATGTACGTCTTCAGAGAGAGGATTTCCGCGTAGCTCCGGGTGGTTCTGCGATACAGGTCCAAGCCTGTCAGGATCTCCACATCTCTGACCCGGGCAGTGTGCATCTTCATCAGGTCCTCCACCCAGCGAGACTCCTCCTCTGAGCTCTGCAGGGGGGAGATGATGATCATTGATGACAACATTTAACTTGAAGGATAAGGACAGTGATACCACTCTAAAATTCTCTTGAAAAAATCCTAGAAATTTCAGGCAGGCTGTTCCTGAAATCTTCCTTAGTTGCTTGCTCACAAATTTATATTTTTAAAGGTCACATATTATGCAAAATACACATTACCATGTTTTTCTAACACTAAAATGTGTCCTTAGCTTGTCTACAAAACTCCCAATTATGAGAAAAGTCCATCCTCTCCGTCTGTTGCCTGCTCCACTTTTCAGAAAATGTGTGCTCAAACAGGCCGTTTGGAGATGTTCCCTTCATGACATTAAATTAATGAAATGAAAAAAGACATGTTATTAGGGCACTCTAGGACTTATTTGAACTTTAAACTGGATGAACAGGAGTATACTATGTGACCTGTTGGTGTGAGCAACCATTAAACTGTTCCTTTTAAAGCCACCAGCGTTCATTGACAAATGAAGGAATTGTTCCTTGCAGACAATGGGAGTTACTGTTGAAACATTGTCTTGATTATTTGGTATTATGTGCTGATTTATGTTACTCATAAAATTGTGTTTTATCAATCAATCAATCAATCAATCAATCAATCAATCAATCAAACCTTTATGTCTTCTCAAAAGGACATTGACATTGAGGTTTCCCTCATTTCAAAAGCCACTGAGATTATTTAAAACATTTACAATTTGTAACAAAGTGGTGAGAAATTCCTAAACTCTGCGAGAGAGGAAAAAACTCTAATCTTTAGAGTTTGCTGGAGGGCGTGCCATGAAATTGGGGCATCAAAAGAAAATGCGGTTTTACAGAGTTCAGTAAAATCTTGATGGACTTTAAGAACGAGCCAATCAGAAGAACGGGTCATGTAGGTGATAGAAATTCCACTCCAACAGGTCTGTGATGTAAGGTGGGAGATTATATTTAACTGATGGAGGCAGTGTTAGAGCGGGATTGATGTATGCTTTGAGGTACATTTCCTGTGTTTCAAGGTTTCATTAAAAGCCTCTAACTTATTAACAAAAGACATTTCTTTAAAAATGTTAGATTTTCACCACATGAAAACACAGAAAAACAATCTGAGCCTGTCAAAATAAAGCACAAATATTGCCCAAATTATTATTTTCCATCCATTAGAGCTTTTGATTTACTGCTGCTGGCTTAAGAAATCTGCTGAAAAGTAATTGTAGTATTGAAGCGCAATATAAAGTGGAGTAAAAGAGAATATTCTTACTCTCTTATCTTCTCCGCTGAGTCTCTGACACCGTCGAAGTCGTAGTCGAATATGGGTCCAATGAGCACGTTCACCCCGTTTCTCTCAGTGGCATATTTTTTCACCAGCACTCTTTGGAAATATCCCCATATTCCTGAGAGAGACAGAGAGGTGGAAGAGACGACAATAGGATGGGGGGGGTGAAATGATAAAAAAGCTGTGAAAACATGTCAGTGGATAAGTCTGTGTGAGTCAACGCTGAGGAGAAATCCCTGGTTGGCTTACTCTTGAATGCAGGATACATGGGGACCGTGTTAGTGATGAGGACAGCATCGTATTTTTTTGTCCATGGTTGATGACAATTCTGCAAATAAAGAAAAAGTTATTTTTTTCAGATATCAGCAACAAAGACAGGGCGAAAAAACACTGAATACTCAAATATGAAAATAAAACCCAGGCTATAACCCCCCCCCACATTTTTCTGTCATGATGCGTCAAGCATGAGACTTGGGTTGACATGAACACCATTACACTTTTGGGTTTTAATTTTCTTGCAGTCCATTGTTCAGACCGCTGTGGCGTTTGACTCACGTGGCGGGTAGAAGAAGGCGTAGGTGATCTGCTTGTCTGCTCTGTAGTTGGTGCAGGACTGACTGTAGGCCGGAGGGACTCTGGTATCAGGTCTCACACAGTTAGACAGAGCTTCAGGCAGAGGGGACATTTCCACCTGAAGGAAGTGGGCACACACAAAAACACACGAGGTGGATGGTGAACTGTCTGCTGGGTGTGGAAGATAACACAGAGAATGGGAAACATCTATGATTGCCAGCAGAGGGCAGTCAAAGAGCACAGGATGAGCAGCACCTGTCTGCTGACGGTGTATGACGTCCAGAGAGGCATGGAGAGAATCTCGCTGTAGCCGCTGATGAAGTCACTGTGGTGGAGGATGGAGTATTTGGTACGGAAGAGAACAGCAGGTCGACCATGTGGCAGGTTCCTGCTGTCTGAGAGAGGACGAGCACAGAGACACGCAGCAGAAGAGAGGCAGGTGTGTAACAAGACACGCTTACAAATCACTCACGTTTACATTTATTAAGAATTCATGACGCATTAATAAATCATCAAACATTGTGGATGCTTTTCTTGAGGTAACACTTGATAAGAAATGTTAAAATGTGAAATGTATGCATAACAACTGATGCTACAATCATTACAGAATAAGTATAAAACCTGTACATGTTGTATTTGTAACTTAAAGGCTCTGAATGTTCACTGTTACACTGCAAAACTCAAATCTGAGCAAATTTTACTTGTTTGTTGTCTTGAAATTAGATGAACAAACACATTTAGATTAGTGCATCTCATTTCAAGATACTTATAGAAAATGTTCAGCTTGCTGTTTTGGCAGATATTTTTCTTAATACGAGCAATTCAATCCTTTTTTTGCATATTGTATCTTGAAATATAACCTTTATCTGGAATTGTCAGGTTAATGCGGCTGAAAATAAGTATAACAAATATGTGCGGCTGTGGATCAGTGGTAGAGTCGGTTGTCTCTCAACTGGAGGGTCAGGGGTTTGATCTCCAGCTCCAGATTTGTATGAAAGGGTTAGTTAATGTTGATGGTCAGTTCACATACAAACATCTACCATCAGTGTGTGAATGTGTAGATGTGACCTGTGGTGTAAAAGTGCTTTGAGGAGTCAGAAGGCTAGAAAAGTGCTATAAGCTCAAGTCCATTTAAATATTTTTGACTAGAAATGAGACAAATACACTCGCTAAGATTTGAGTTTTTGCAGTGTGGCAAGTTTACTTTCAGAGGATCCAGAAGGTGTTTTTCTCTGTTTCACCAAAATATTTAAAAATTAAAAACTTGTGCTTTAAATGTCAACCATTTCTGAAACGCTTCAGTGGATTGCTTCAGCCCTGAAACAGGCTGTAATGACTACAATGACACCTTCCAGGGAAAGTTTCTGATCAAAGTACGTTCTCTAAAAGTGCTTGTTTTGCCACTGAAAGGTTCAAACTGTCTGACAATATAACACACAGATACGCGACAGAAATCCACAGCTGTTATTGTTAAAGAATGTTTCTGAGCGACATCTCGTACATCTCATATAACAGTGTTGTTTAAAGGAGAGATGATTATTAGTAGCATCATAAAAGACTGACCATCCATAGCTTGCCTCAGTCGCTGGTTTAGCTCCTCCACTTTGTTCTGTAAGAGACAGAGCCAGAGTGACTCCAGGTTATAGCCTCGTACAAGGGTCACTTTCAAACCTCTCTGGCCCCTACTTTTTACACGCAACTGCAAAAAGATCGGAGATTGAAACAATCTCTTGCCAGAGATCTTCATGGGAATCACAAACACAGTGCAGATGAAGAGACACACATGCTGCAGAGAGGGACGGGAAACAACTCACTTCCAAACCACGCCATTCAGCAGGTAAATCTGAATGTGTCACTGAAAATAGACTGAACGTTTGACTGATATATGAACGTAAGAGAGACTGCCTCTCGTTTAGCAGATTAAACAGGTTAGGTTGAGTTGAACTGACTGACTTTGGAGGTGAATTGTCTCCAGCTCTGCAGCAGAAAGCAAAAGAGGCAGAACACTTTTTTCAGTTCTTAAAGAAGCTGAAAAAGAAGATTTCAGGTCGTTAGACACATTTTATAAGTCAAACATGCATGTTCACACAAGGCAGACATCCTCAAATCATCAAATAATCATGGAGTCAGCCCCATGCAGATGATTCTTTTTACAGCTCTGCTAAATGAGAAACAGAAAAACGGTGTTGGAAACCCCTTCAGTCACTTGCAGAGCGTTATTTGGGATGTTCGGTTGATGAACTGCTGCTAACAACAAAACATCTGGCTTTTACAGACTTGACAGAGCTTCAAAAACGGGATCTTTACAGACTAAGAGAAACTGAAGCTAACGCCTGTATGTTTCACAATTAAAAAATATCAGTTTGACCCAAAGACTGAATAATAAGAGGGACATACCAACATGAAGTGCACAAAATGCATGACCTGCAGCAGATGGAAATGACATACTAGCTTATATTTGGTGCAGTAAACTTAGACAATCTTAAACCTGGCTATGTTTTTGTCATATTTTTGGTCTGAATGAGAAAATGGTACAAGGCATTTTGTAAGAGCTTCCATGTTTTGGTTTAGTGAGCTTAATGGCTAACTGCAGTTTTGTCCGATCAAAGTATGTGAACTACAAGTGCTTGTTTTGCTCCTTGACATGCAGGCTCAGATTACTTTTCTGCTAGCTAGTATGTTCTTGTCCATGCATTCCTTGATATGCTCAATACGTCCAATTACATTTATTGACATGTAGCAGAAAATGTCAACACAGGGTCAGACTGTCCCATGATGACAACATTTTGGCATTTTGGATTTCTGCTCGGTCTTTTTGTATGTTGTATCCTGCCTCCTAAAACCCAGCCTCCATCCCGTCGAACAGGAAAAACTTTACCCTTTGAGGGACTCGTCTCAATGAGAAACTCAGGAAGACTTCAGGGATCAGGTTCTCCTGTGATTTATGATTTCATGTGTGAAAACAGTTTTAGATTAACAATCTGAGTCCGTCACTGACAAATCAAGTTTTCTTGAAATAATTCGCAGCTGCTCTGTTTACAGCTGCCGATGTGGAAATCAACTGGAGCAAAATGAGTAATTTAGACCCCGGCTTAAAGTATGTAAAAATAGGACCCAGGTAAAAAACAAAAGCTCTGATTTTCCCTTTAACTTGACTCATGGTGAACACACAAGCAATCTAATTTGAGAGTTTGCCCTATTGCCAACAGCACAGTCAGGAGAGTCACAGGTATTTGAACTGAGTGAGGGTCTTCTTTACCCCCAGGGAGGCAATTAAATGGTCTGTAATTCTAACTGGACTGTGAGTACAGAAGGGGGAGCTGTACAATATGATGCACCCTTAAAGTTCATGATCTACAGGAAGCTGTTGGAGCAGATGCTGACTGGCAGTTTTATCAAACATTTATTTTCAGCTGTATTTTTTAATTTTTTATTACCCCTGTAAGTTTCCTACTACCAGCTAATGTAGCGGACTATAAGGATTTGTGTTTATAATTCATTTATTATTACCAGCACCTAACATAATAAAAGCAGAACTGCCATGAAGCACAGGCTCAAAGAGTTGTCCGTTCATGATCATTACATCAGAGTAACACATGATCCTTTTTGGAGATCGGCTTGTTGATCAGCTTGCATCAAAGTGATAAAACATCCAGCAGACACCAACATCCATAAGTGCTTATTAACAGCTAATAAGCAGCCAGAATGCTACTAATAGTTAATGGTGAATACTGTGACCTTAATTTAAAGTGTTACCTGTAAATTGTCATGTACAATACAGATGTTTCAGACCTTAAATAAGATGCTTGTCTTTCACAAAGTTTTTTGAAAGGAAACCAAACTAAATAAAAGAAATGATCAGAACTAGGGAATTCAGAACCTGGTCGTAATGAACTGTTATATGGTAAGGCTTTTTAACGATCATAAAAGAGTTTTAATTAAATGGAAACAATCCTCCCAATATTTAATAGTCATTTCTTTTTTGCTCGTACCTACATTTACACTTTTGCTTTTTTACGATGTAATTTCTTGGGGTACTTTCAAACGCTTCACATTGCTTGAATCTGTACAACCTCAAGTACAACCTCAAGTACACGATTACAAACAACAACATTTCTCCATTTTAACTTCTGCCATGTTGTCTTTGTGTTATTTTCAATTAAAAAAGGGTTTATATATTTTTGTTTTAATCATTACATTCTGTTTTTATTTACATAACGTCCTAACTTTTAAGGATTTAGGGTTGTATGAATAACAGATTTATCAAGACGAAGACCACCATGTTGTTTGCGTAATCTGAAAAACAGAACTATTGTCACAGAAATATTAACTGTGTGATTCTGCAGCAGGCCATAAGGACCGGGATGGTTTTGGTGTCACTGTTGTTATCACTATAGGTGAGCTGACAGACAAGCCGATCTCCTACAAACTGGTTTTCTTTCCAGCAGTCTACAAGAAGCTGGTCCCAGGTCTGCCAACACTGAGCTGAGTCAACATGGCTGACCTTGTCTTCACAACTGCAGCCCAGGTCGTCCATCCCTGCAGGAACGAGACCAGAGGCCGCTGGCCTGGAAACCTCCTCTGGCATGGCGGGTCTGTAGAGGGGGCCTCTCAGCAGGTGGTTCAGACTACCATGAGTCCCGTTGTTGGGAGCCGGTTTCAGACCGAGGAGATCTGAGAGTGAGAGGGATCAGTCTTTTAAATTAAAGAATGAGTGGGAGAGGTTACACAGTGAAAAAAAAGTCATATTTATCATAACCTTTGGCACACGCATCAAACATATTGAACCATCAAAACACAACGAGGACTCAGAAACACGGCTTACCGCACATAACGTTGTAAAGCTCGATGTTTTCAAAGGCTGGAACCTTAGTCCTGAATTTAAAAGTAGGTCCATATCCTAAGAAAATAGTCTGAAAAAAAGTCGAAGAGTTGAAACAATCGCTTTCCACAAGCCAATACAAAAGTGTCTAACGTCAGTGAGTACCTGCATGCTGTTGATCTTATTGTCGTATCCATGGTCACCAGCGAAGCCACAGTGCCTCCTCCCTTCAGGGACTCTCCTGTATTGAACCAAAAAAAATCAGAATTTGGCTGATGCAGATTGTGTTTATCTCTTGTTGACCTGAAGGCTTCACATGAAAGTTCAGACACCAGCGCAAAGTCTTTTAAGTGTCTCCACAGATATTCAACAGGCTGCTACACATTTGTAAGAAAACATCATTCAAAGTAGTTTATAACAGCCGGTTATGAGTTCTCATTACAAGAGTGATGCTGATCACAACCCCTTTAATTGAGCTGGACCTCACAGAACAGGAACCTTTTTTTAGCCCCTACTCTCCCAGCATCATGGACAGAAAAAAAAAGTCTAAGGTTTTCATTGAATTCTCTAGTGGAAGCTCCTCTTCAAAAAGTCCCCAGAACTGTCTGGTCTGAAAACACCTTTACATACTGGGTGAAACTCACTAAATACAGTAGAACTGCAGTATATTGTTGGTGTTCACCTACATCTACCCTACGCTCAGGACAGCCGTCCCTTCACAGAAAACTCAACCACGGCCCTCTAATTGAAAAACAGCCACTTCTTATTAAGTGTCCATTTAAACACTACTTCCAGTTATACAGCTTAATACGTATATATATATATATATATGTGTGTGTATGTGAGTGTGTGTGTGTGTGTGTGTGTGTGTGTGTGTCTAGGGGGTGAAGCCGCAAGCATGTGAAAAATGTAAATGACGTGCTGACGGGGAGAGGAGACAAACTCAGTTTTTCATTTAGTGTGAAAAGTTAGTTGGTTTAGGACTGACACTGACATTGACTAATGCGCATATGTGTGTGTGTGTGTGTGTGAGTGTGTGTGTGTGTGTGTGTGTGTGTGTGTGTGTGTGTGTGTGTGTTGTGTGTGTGTGTGTGTGTGTGTGTAAAGGCTCCAACACTCAGCTCACAGCTCTGGTGCCAGCGATTTGCCCGTCCGTCTACCTGAGCTGCACAGAAACCTCAAAGATCTCTTTCATTTAGTGACCATGCATGTGTGTGTGTGTGTGTGTGTGTGTGTGTGTGTGTGTGTGTGTGTGTGTGTGTGTGTGTGTGTGTGTGTGTGTTGTGTGTGTGAGTGTGTGTGTGAGTGTTGTTGATGTGTTGAAATATAATATAACTCCCTCAGGTAACAAACCAAAACAGCACAACAGCTTCATGAACACACACACACACACACACACACACACACACACACACACACAGCGTGGTAAGCTGAGGCGGTTTGTTTTCACTCGTGATGACTTCATGTTTTACTTTGTCACTGAATCGCCGCAGTTGACCCGTTCAGAGCTCCACACCAAAACGTCCGTCAGACTTTCTTCTCAGAACGTCATTAATGTTTCAGCAGCTGCACGTTTGTCAAAAAGGTGTTTGTTTGTTTTTTACACGAGGGTGGCTTGGGACGTCACATCTTAAAACCTTTCAGCACTACGCGTGTTAATGATGCATTGATAGCAGCCCGTGTTGACATAAAATGTGTTCTTAAGTAAAGCAAGATGTGCAATAAAAAAAAAAAAAAAAACAGCTAACAGATGGGTGGGCTGAAAATGCCACATCAACACTGACTGAGTGTGCAGAACCTCAGAGCACCTCGCTGGTAGCAGATGCAGCAATAGATCAAAAACTAAACGAGTTTGGACGACTTTTTCTCACAGTGCAGACAGCTCTGGATTTATAACTTTGAACTTTTGGCTGTTTGCACTTTTTCCCCAACCTTTTAAACTTACACCTCGAGGTCACTCAGTAAAAGAGATTGATGCAGGAATACAGAGAGCGTGAGGAGGAATGCATACACTGTAATGCAATCCAATAACCTCTCTGCTATCATCCAGTCACAATGAAGCTTTTTTTAATTAACAGAAATAAACATAAAAGCACAGATATGTGCACAGAGTGTTAAATATTAGACTAAGTTGGTCTTAGGCCAGATACTGTATATATGAATTTCACACTTGCAGAAAACTCCTGAAAAGCTCCTGATATTTCCAGGAGGAACTGTACGTGTGAATGCAAAGTCAAATTAATCGCTTGGACCCAGCACTGCTAACGTTAGCCACACTTGCCAAAGCATTTTGACATAGTTTAAACGTACAGTAATGCACATCACAAAGTGCCACGCTTTTCAGCAGCATTCAAATTGAGTGGTTATTTTGTTCGTGAAGAATGTGTGAACTTTTTTCAAATAACAATGAAAAGTTTTCAAAGAGTTTACTAGTCTAAGTTTACGAGTCTGTTATTTCCTTTTTCTTTTTTTTTAAGAAATGAGTCGCTAAGTACATCTCCAGTCAGTAAGACTTCAGTGATAACATTTTCACTTCCGTTCAGTCTGTAGAAAGTTCACCATGTTTCAGGTCTCATGTAATATACAAACATTGCTTGAAATCACCCCCCTTTATTAAGTCCTCCAGGTCATTGTGATGTCACCATACCTTGCGACGTGCCACTTCCTGTCCACCAGCAGGTGAATGTCTTCAATACGCCGGTTGTTGGCGTAGTGCAGTCTCTTCGGCAGGTGCTGCTTCAAGTACGGCTTAAAGTGCTGCTCTGCTTTCTTACACTGCAACACGGAAACACTCATTGGCATTTTGATTTACTATAGACTTCTTTTACCCCGTCAGCACATACAACACATTTATGTAAGTGTCAGCTGTGCAATACTGACTTAACAGAGTATCATGCCAGTATATGTGTTATATCTGTAACTGTGCATTACACTCAGACACCTCTGCTTTACCACTTGAACTACTTTGCAGTGAGTCTTTCATTATTTACCCCATCTATTACAATATATAGTGCATTTTATTTTCCTCTAAATATTGGTAGAATAATGTTGTAGAAAGGGTTACATATTTAAATATACATATTCGTATTTGGGCAGATTCGGTGGGCATGACTTGGTTTGTTCCAAGCTGGATGTTGTTGTGTGGTTGCATAGAGGGACTGGCTAGGATGACAAGGAGCACAGTCTTTGATATTAAAGGAAGAATGTGCAACATTTCACACATAAATACAGCAGATATCAAGTATATCCTGTGTAAATGTCTCTCTGAGTCATGACTGTCTACAATGAGTGAGAGAAGCTCGAGTCCGCTAGCTGTATTGTTGTCTGAGCCGTGTTTACATCATGTTTAAATGGACAGGACGGCCTTGTGTATAAAGCTGTTTAAGTCAAGGACTAGAGAAAGAAGAAGAATCGACTACTTATTTGGATGTCACATAAGTGTCTTTAGATCTCAGTCATTCTGTGTCAATTTTTGTGCAATATGAAGCTATGAGTTAACCAAAGTGTGCTAACATTAGCCTGCTAACACAACAATGCAGGACACAGGCAATTCAGAGTCAAGCCTCTTGCGCTTAATGGTTCTTAATTATGGTCTATACAATTGACAAGTCCTTCATGTGAATGCGAGTAGAGAGGGAGGTGTGTCGCTGGAGGAGAGGAGGCTTCAGAAAAGCGGAGGTGTCACCAAACAGCAGTTTGTTTTGGTTTCATGCATGGTGCTCAAGGGCGACATCTACTGGCCATAAAATCGCCTTCTCCGGTCAAAACAAATACAGACCATTCCTCATCGGAATCGAGACTTAGGAGGAGGACATGCTGGCTGCTGCGTTGTTGACAGAGAAGCCAGCACTTCAACATAGCATGATTCCTTAATGTCTGATGCTATAATAAGATATCTTACATATTGGACCGTTAAGCTTTACACACGTTAAATGTTTTTTCATGCAGGTCTGGTAACTTACTGTCAGGTTTTCAACAACAGCCTTGGGATCATCTGAAAGAAGAACAGAGGTGTGAGCAGTTTAAACTGACCCAACAGGTCAACAAAGCAAAAAGAAGGTACATGAACAAGATGAAAGAAGATTAAAATGTCTTGTTACTCCGGTCAAACACTTGGAGAACAATGTTTCCAGGACTGTAGGTACTGTGCACACAACCATGGATTAGATCAGAGGCTTTTTTTTATCTTTAGGAACAAATCACTGTGTCCTGTTTGTTGATAAAAGTGTAACAGACCAGGAAGAAGAGGACAGAACACATGAACGATATGAATTGGCTGCACAGACTGGATGTAAGAAGCATTAATGACAACACTCCCGTATTTCAAAGCCATCTCCCGGCCCCCTACAAGTTCAGTTATTTCTCACAGGAACCTCCCTACAACCTTTTTAGCATGTTAAGCTAGCGTTCGCACCCCTTCACCCCCATTCTTGTGTATTTTAGAAAACCTAGATGTTGGCAGGTATGATAGGAGGTGGGCATTGCCCTGGTGATGTCAGCCATTGGTTTGTGGACCATTGGTTTGAAGACTTGAGTTCAGCATTTTGACTGTTTCCATCTTAGTAAAGTGACGATGTGTGGAGGTGGGAGCTGAAAGGTTAGCAAACGCTCAGTTATAAGCTAATTCTAAATTGGTTGGGCCGTGTTAAGTTACACAGTACACTCCACATAAGGCGTAAAGATCCCTCCTTGAACTGGTAATATGTAAGCACCATATGAGTGGATGTCAAGGGAAATTTGAAAAGGGAAACAAAGACAAAACTGAAAACAACCGAATGTCAAAAGAAAAACAACATTATGAGCTTTTCTCTCTCTCTCACATTTTGTGTTGTTGGGGTTTCTCGGGCGTATTCGGCCCAGAGATCCAGGGGTGAGGATGATGTCATCAACGTTGGACATGTAGTTACTGAGGAACTCCGTGCGGTCACAGTGGGCCTCTTCCATACCTGAGGACACACAGGAGGGTGAGTGTGTGTCACTAGCTGGTGAACCCTCTGATGTACGTTTCTCGAAAAATGTAAATTATAAAAAACAATAATCCTCCTCTGAGCTTTATTGTAGCTGCTGTGTGTGTATGTGTGTGTGTGTGTGTGTGTGCGCTGAGCATGCAGGTAACATCTACCACACAACTTGTTACCTAAATATGGTTTTAAATCCAACATGATGATTTGTGTGTGTTTTAGTGTGTCTGTACCGTGATCCCCCACCAGGATGATGTTAACACAGCGGTGCAGTTTCATCTGTTTGAGTCCGTCCATCAGCTGGCCAACAATTCTGTCAATCACCCTCAGAGGGTTGTTGAGCTGAAACACACAGATGAGTCAGAATCCAAAGATTGTATGTGTCAATGATGGACACAGAGAAACTATCTAAAAGTACATTTGTATTTGTGTGACTGTTTTCTTTCCTTTAAAAGCATATCTTCAAAATCCCTCAACACAAATCTGTACTCACTTCTGCACTCAAGGGCCCCATTTTGTGTCCATACGTGTCTGGTTGTTCAGAGTGCATGGCGTAAACATAAGGCCTGAAACAAGATGCAAGTCATGATCATTCTCATATCATTACTTTACAGTTTTTAACAGGGAATCATATGCAGTGGTTGGAAGTGGATATACTCATTTAGAAATGGTTCTCTTTTACCCTCTGCTGTTTTCTGTTCCATGTTTTATGTGAAAATGAGTAATGACTAAAATGAATACTATGATCAAACTAGAAACAGTCAGGAAACAGGCCAACAAAATCCTTCATAGAAATGCATCAATTCATAGGACGCCAACTAAAAGAGCTTGTTTTAACCACACCTGTGCAGTACTCTAACGCCCTGACGAAAGCCATTAGGCTGACACAGGTCGGCGTTTGCCTCTCTTTTTCTTACCTTTCCACCTTAACCTCTCCCACACAAGTGTGCCTGTAACTGCTTCAGAGACCACTCCACCAAACGGAGGTAAGCTGGTCCTCTGTTGTTTTTTCCAGGTACTCGTTTTAAGTTTTTCTGATTCTAACTGCATTACTCAACTCAAAGCCACCGGACTCAATAGACAGAATCAGGAATCTAACCATGCAGAACACATGAGCTGTTTGTGGACAGCTGCTGCAATTGGTTATATTTTTGTGAGAATGAGTTACACAAATTATATTGTGTTGGATCTTAACTAAGTATTTACAACTCTAACTCAAACTTAATTATTGTGGCACCTTTAAACCTGCAAGTCTTTTGATCCACAAGAAAAAAAAACATTTTTATTGTCAATGGAGTCTGGTGGCTGTGAAGAGAGGAAAGTAAGGACTCCTTCAGGATTACAATAAACAATCAAAATTTAAACAAATCTGAAGGAATCTGAAGGAATACTTTACATACAATCAGAGCCTGTCAGTACTTTAAGTGGATCTACTTTGATTAGCTGCATTATACTGCTAATTTAATCAGTCTATTGGAAAAAATGTTCAAACATTTGGACCCATACAAATATCTGAATTCCTCTGTACGCAAGTATTGGGCGAACAAGGTACACCCTAATTTCATTTAGGATATTTGGAGGAAAACATGCCAGGTTATTTGAGTTTTTCATTCATAATTTTGCATTTGGACTTCACCTGAGACATCTGTCATATTCAAACCCATTGGTAATGATGGTAACTGCCAGCAAATAGTATAGAGATATACTGTGTATTCATTGTTAAAACCGCCAAACAAGTGGCAACCTCCGCTGTTGAAAAAAGAAGTCAACGTTGAATTGCAAGAAAAATGGAATCCCATTGGGTCACTTATTAAAGGGTTCACTTTATTACAGCAGAAATAAATACGTGTACTGGCAGGTGCAACAAAGTTAAATGAAGCATTTCCAATATGGCGACCACCATCGTTGGGCTTCAGAACATCTGTTAAGAAACTCATAGATGACATCACTGAGACTACGTCTGTGTTTTTATAGTCTATGAATATAATGAACCACCCCCCCCCCCCTTCTCCCTGATCTGTGGCTGCAAAAGAATGAAAAATCAGTATGAATTAAAAAGTTTACCTCTCTCCTTCAGGGAGATGCAGCCACTGCAGCATGGCCAGAATCCGCCTCTCCAATGGGATAACACTGGAACAGGAACACAATGAAGGTTCACACTGGTTATCATTTGCAGAAAATCATAACGGATTTCCATAACACATAAACAGATGCTTCTCAAACCATTAAAGTGTTCCTCTAACTCTCAAAGAGCCTCATAAAGTTGAGGGTTGTGGAGTAGAACACGTTTAAAGCCCTCTCACTGTTTCAAGTGTTTCAACGTCAAAGGGGGCCTGTGTGCGGCCTGCGTAGTGATGAGGCCACCAACCGAGCAGCTGGCTGTCATACAGTCCACAGCTGTCAAGCATCAAGCCCATGTCTGAGGCCCTGGATGGGGCTCCATGTAGGAGGCAGTGGAGGGGGGGGGGGGCACTCTTATTACACTTGACAGCAGACTTCTCACTCCATGTTTTCACTTTTCTATACTTTGGACTGAGGCTGTCACAACACTAGAATTTAAAACTTAGATACAATATGATCCTAGACAAAATGGCAAACCTATGCTGATGCAACAATATTTAAAAAAAGAGGTCCTGGGCACCCAATACTGTGTTTTTTGTTTTATTACCCCAAACAGAAGGCAAACTCCTGCACACTGTCTAGATTGCCCAAATAACATGAAACGTTGCTAATGTATTAGTGCAACTTAGATGGGGCTGTCTTTATCTTTAAAGGCTTTATATTTGATTTTTCACACTTAAATATAATAGAAATCAAGTATATCCTCTGAAAATAACTCTGTGAGTCATGACTGTCTACAATGGGTGTAACACCCGAGTCCCACTGTCTGTGATGTTTTCACAGTTTTCAGAGTCCTATCTTCACTTTGTTTACATCGCCGAGACGGCCGGCTGACTCCTCCCCTCACGTATAAAAGTTGTTAAATTGAGGGACGAGAGAAAAGAAGAATAACATACTGTACTCACTGCTTAACTGTGTTTCTAGATCACGCTCATTTCAGGTAAATTTACATGCAGTGTGAAGATACCAGCATAATAAAGATCGCTAGCATTAGCATGCTAACACAACAATGCACCGCAAGTTGTTTTGGTTTCATGCTGGTGCTCAAGGGCGACATCTGCTGGATGAAAAAATCACATATAAAGCCTTTAAGAAAAATAACAAAGACTGTGTCATTACACTGTTCATAAAACATAAAGGTATCTGATGGCATTTGCAGACTGCCAGGTGAAGGCAGGATACTTACGCTCCTGTTACGTCATTGGATTATAACAGAGACAGAATGGGTGAAGATGGAGAGGGGAAATAAGCTTTTACTTCTTCCCGCTCCTTTTTGGACATGTCACTTAAACGAGTGTTTGACAGATTTTAAAACTTCCCACTGTTTGTAATTATAATTTATTTTCTGTGTGTTGTCTTGTGTTCACCTTTGTCTTATGTATTTCTAAAAGCCTCCCGTGGACAGGTGTTCTAAATTAGCATTTTGCTAAAAAACACTAAAAGCAGTGCATCTGGGACTTGTGCATTGTTAAATGTTACAGCACCAATGTTACTGTATGTCCATGACAAATAAACAAATAAATACATGTTTGGAATAAAAAATGTAATTAAATGAAATCAATGGTGGCAATGTGTAACATCAGAACCAGCGAGGTGGAACAGCTCTGTGTGTAGATGAAGCTCCTGCTGTGTGTTCGCACGCTGTGCCACTTGTGCTTCTGTAACTCCTTAAAGCAATTTAAAATCACACACTGGGACAGTAACATTCTGCTGTTTGATACAAAGGTGTAATGATTTTCTTTGGAAGGTTTATTTTTAGTGTGGAGAGAGAGAGAGAGTTGGAAATGACATGCAAGAAAGGAGCCACAGGTTGGACTCGAACCATCCATCTGGAGGTCTTCAGCCTTTGTACATGGGCCACTGTCACCCTGGCAAAAGCGTAATGATTGCAGAACTTTGTTGTGGAACCGCAATCCGGCTTAAAAGTATCGAAAACGTTGACAACTTTACTGCTCACTGTGTTCACACTTCCAGTAAAATGTTCCCTCCTCCCTCTCTTTCTTCTCCTCTCTTTCTTCTCTGCTTGTGGTTAGAGGGAGGAGAGGACCTCCCAGACAGCTGAGCCCAACACAGTCAACCAGTCATCTACATGTAGCAACAATCTCTGCTCCGCATTACCATGCCAGTCAGGCCTGGTGCTCTGAGTCTAAACTCTGAAATGTGTTGTCTACATTACTCACTGTGTCTTCTCTCACACCTCTGTCAGTGCCAAGTGTAAGAAAAGCACTGCAGCCCACACTCTGCCCCTCCTCCCTCTCCCCCCCCCCCATGTCTGTGACCCTGGTTCACAGAAGAAACCTGCACAGTGTCAATAGGACCATTTGCACAAATTGCTGTAAAAACAGCCCAATGCCATCTCTCCGCTGAGATCTGCCCCTCGCTCCATCAAAGCCTCCTCTGTGTCGATAAATGTGGGCCTCGTTGTGTGTCGCAGTATTTTGGTTCAGCACAGCAGGAACATGAACGGACATGTTCTGATGACCTGATTTGATTATTGCCCCATAATAAGTCACAGTTTATGAATAATTAGTAACCAGACAATGCATCTGCAAAAGGTTGTTGTGGCTCTCTTACACCAAACATGATTATTAACTGCAGGGAGTTTGTGACGCTCGGTGTGTTTGGGCAGATGAAAGCAATATTTGAAGGTCATAGGTGGCACTTCATTATTTCTAAAGGCTTTTTCACACATGCAGCCCGAGAAGATTTCTGGACAGGCTGTCCCTGAGGTCTTCCAGAGTTGCTTGCTCACATATTCACCTCAAATCAGTCTCCCTGTGAGGGAAATCTCAGGAGGCATGGCATGATAAAAAGAATGATGACGCAGAAGTGGAGGATGAAGACTCTGTGTCTTACGCTTATTGTTTTAGCCCTTATCACAATGCCAACTGTAAAGGGATGTATTGATAGTATCAACGAGTGCAGAGGCGCTGCTTTTCAACAGGCAAGATCAGGCAACTGCTTGGGGCTCCAGGCCAGTAGGGGGCCCCCTCGAGGATGACAATGTTAAAAAACACAGAAGCGGCTAAAATATGCAACGTTTGCATGACATGAGTATTGCATTATGATGATTGTTCTTTGACCTTTGGTATATTTATATTTTGAAATGACAAAGTTTCCCTGTTCTTTATATTTATGAAATTTAAGGTCATTTTCAGGAGTTTTCTGTCTTGGTTACGACACCTCCCTTTATTTTTGAAGTCTAAACTTTTCTCAGAAGCAAATTCCTTATCTCTAAACATCCCTTTAACTACATTGCTTAATGGGTTATATGTGTTTATGTTGTGTCAACATGCCACTATGAATTCACAGATACTTGAGCTGTGTCCTTTAAACTAATTTATGTGTGTTTCACTGCACTTGGTGTTGAGTTGTTTGCAGACTGTGGACTAACAGGTGTAGAGGAAGCTCTGTGCAGGGCAGCGTTACCTTACACGTCATATTTCTTGTCCTGCTTTTGACAACATCAAGCTCGCTCTAGCTTGCACTCTCACTGAGTGTGTTTACATGGGCTTGAGTATCCCGTTTATGAGCCTTATCCCGGTTTTGAGCATATTCGGGATATGGTGTTTACATGCACAAATACAAAAACGGGATACTTAAAACCCCAATCAAAACCGGGATACTCGATTCCATGTAAACGCACTCACTGTCAAAACGTTTGGCTGCAGGGTCGGCATGCTTTAAAAGCATCTGAGATCAATTTACATTTAGATATTTGGAATAAAAAAAACAATGTACGAATACACAAAAACTTTTCTTCTTCATTCCAAATCAATAAAATCCATACTGGTTAAACCCCCTAAGAAACAAGATGTGCAGTTCAATTATTACTGAGAACATATTTTAACCAGCATCAGCACCATTACACAACTTTTTCTGATTTGAGGACATTCATGTTTTTTTTTTTCTGGCTGTTGAAATGTGTGGGTGGTTGTAAAGCCTCCAACACAAATATAAAGCGCACTCTTTCAGGGCAATCTAACGTGTCCTTACCTGGTACCAGAGCAAACACATTACAACAAATTATGCATTCACTGTATTAAACAAGCTCCATCTGACTCCCTGTGATTTTGTTGATTCACAAATCACTTAACAGGAACAAATACAAACATGCCAAAAGACACTATTCAAGAACAGCTCAGACTAAAGGAGACAGCAGCAAAAGTGGCACAGTCAGGAGAGGCTATCACTGTGAAGCAGCCACACAGCTGCAAATCAGCAACATCTGATGTCATGTGGTGTTGTCCTTGACCTAAAGCTCATTCTGACCCTGATATCCGCTCCGTATGTGCAAGGCGTTGACTAAAGAAACTATTTGGTTTTTGAAATGAAATAAACTCTCAGGCCGAATTTACACAAATTTCCAGAAGATCTCCAAACAGCATGCTCCTGTACTTCTTAATCCTGTACTTCTGAATGCACCAACAGTTCCAACCAGCAAGTGGAAAAGAACATACTTTAAAGCAGAAAGAGTATGAAGCAGCTTCTTTAAGTGCTCAAGGATGGCAACAGTTGCCCAACGGTCTCGTAATATAGAGGTCATCAACCCCGCGTGCTTACTGAGTTTTTCCTGCTGTGTTTACGAGTGGGCTCACCTGACCTCTTATGTAGACTTGACTGTTTGCGTTCACACATGCAACTCAACACATAAATAAATATTCAGGAGTTTTCTGTATGTCCAAATTATCCATCCAATTACAATTAAAGACAGCAATAACTTGTTGTTTTTTTAAGGGTTAACTAACTGCACCAAGAGGTAGGTCTGGAAATGGTTTTACTGGAAATAAAATGGAGACTTACACGGGCCAGAAGAAGGTTGCAGCCTTCACTCCCTGTTTTTGTGCTGTGATCCAGATCTAAAAGACAAAGAGTACAATCATTGTAGATCATAATATCAGCCTGACAAAGATTATTTTAAGATTAATTACTTTTTCTCTTCAATTTAATCCTAACACCTTTTTACAGAATACATCAATTATTTCATATAAACAGTGAGCACTAGTCCCAAAAGAGCAAAAATACGATGACAGAAATGATTTGTAGCAGCATTTGACTAAAAGTCATTTTGCAGTGGTGTGTGCGATCTCGTTAACACAACAACGTGTTTTCAACTCGTTTTATTTTTCATACAAAAATATTTATACAGGGCTTAAATGCACATAATGTAAATCCCACCACCAGGGGGATCTCAATAAAAACAATAACAATAGATGATGTCAAGGCTGTGGGGGAATCATGGGAGTGATTCTCTCTGCTACACCACCCCCACCCACCGATGAAAACAAATTTTGAGTTGACTGTAGTCGAGACAAACGGGTAAAACAGACCTGAGGAAGAGAATATGTTTACCGTCAATGTGTCCAAGTATACTTTACATGATGTTTTTATCACAGCAGCACATACATACAGCAACAGTACGGAAGCTTTCAGCAGAATTTCTCGCTTCCTTATGTAGCTGTCTTTAATGTTGTTTCCATGGTGACGATAAACATGTCATGTCTAGATATTTTAGTGTTCATCAAAGAGCCGAGGTCGGATTCGGACTGTCCGCTGCGACGAGCAGTGTAGCCTCTGTACATAGGGCTCGCAACATAACCACTAGGCTACCAGCGCCTCATTTTTAAACATCCTATTAACGGTGGAAATAGATGTCTTATAATTATCTCACTGGGTTGGTTTTCATTCAATTTCTAAACACAGGAAATCTCTGTGGAATAATTGGTGTCGGTTTGGGGTCCTTTTTATGAAATAGTTTGGAAACTATTGCTTTAAGGAAAACCACAAAAACTGAAGCTCTTAAGAGTGTCAGACTACTTGATGTTAAAAGATTTGGTTCCAATAAAAACTAGAATTGATCCCAACCCAGCTGTCATGATGACACACAAACATCTGTTGCTCATCAATAAAGAGAACGCTTATAAGACTTCTGTTGGATCTGAGTCCTGCCATATCTACTGCAGTTGGCTTCAAAATGAGTATTTCCTGCTTCTGCTGGCCTCTGATCTGTCAGATGAAATGAATAACACTTCGGTGCAAAGCCAAACACAAAATCGATCCACCATCAAAGGGAAAACGGGAATCCAAATCTTCCCAATACACAAGCACATCATTAATGAACTACAGATGGATAAACAGAGAAGAAGACAGGACTCACCGGCTGTCCTCCCCACCAGCGATGGCTGAGTTTCTCTCGGCTTCTCAAAGTGAAGGTGGCATCAAACACCGGGTCATACATGGAGTTTCCAACGATCCCATGAGACTCTGGGTAGAGACCCTGAGAGAGATTCAAAATCAGATCTTGATCAGGCAAATAATGTTTGCACACCAACCCAAAAAAACTGTTCTCAAATTATTTTAACTAACATGTACTTACGTTTGTAATTATATTTTATCATGCCACTTTTATATCTTAGTGTTTCTATAGCCTAAAAGGGGTTTGTGCTCAAAGATGCTTCTCCTCATTCTCTCAGCAGTTAAATGGGCTCAATCCTTTTTTCATATGTTTTTTTTCTCTTGGTATTATTTTCCTGTTATTCCTGTTTTTGTAGAACAAGATGGCTACAGCCTCCTGGATAGTGTTGTAGTCAAGACCACACTAACTGAGTGCTCTGAGACCGAGACAACACCAACACATTTAGGGATTGAGACCGAGGGTCAAAAACATGGTCCATCCTCATTTAAAGCAACAAAGACCACATTTTGATTAACACCTACACTCACCATCACCTCTTAAAGCAACAAAAACACACATTTGATGTAGTGCTGCTTCAGTAAAATGTTGTCTGTTTCTAAATGTAAACTTCTCCAAAAAAAAAAGTCCTTCATTTTAAGAAATGTCGACGTAAGCGGGCCAAATCAACTTATTTACTTATTTGTTATACCAGTTATGTTGGATTGAGTATAGCCATTCCAGGACCTGCACAAAGTGAGGATGTCAGAAAAGACAGAAGAGCCAGGAGGACAGCGCTAACACTACTGATCAGTGTGCATACGTTGATAATGATACAATAAAGTCAGATCCTGGGAGAGCCCATTCACTGGACCTGTCTGGGGCCCAGCCGTGGACGGGACTGTAAATTAGGGCTAAAAAAAACCCACATAAATGTAGTATTTTTGTTTGACAGGAGACGCAATGGTCATCTTGATGAACGCCAAATAACTTTGCTTGGACATTCAAAGAGCTTACAGAAGCATGAGCTACTATATTTTTCAAATCCACAGTCATCAAAGTGAAATACCGTGATTTTGGTTGGTCCTTTATTGATCCAGCCTTGGCTATACCTTAGCTTAATGCTAACTCTCGCAGACATTTGTAATCTCTGAAAGCACATTATGCCATATGACACACACAGTTTGTGTTAGCATCTTAGATACTCTTGTGTCGTACCGTAGCCAGTGAGTAGAGGTTGGGGAAGGTCTTTGTGGGGTAAACAGGCCTCATGTATGGAGCATGGGTTCCACATGTTCCTGAAAAGAAAAACAGAGCAAAAGAAAGTGTCAGATTTGCAAAGAAAACATGCATCAGTTGGGTTAGCTATAGATTCTTCTTGTGGCTCCTTAAATCAGCAGATAACCAAACAGGGTAAGCATGAAAGGGGGCATCTTATAGGTCTTACTCAGTTTCTCGATGTTGGGTATCACAGTGCTTCCTCTCTTCACATAAGAAGCTCTAAATCCATCCACTGATAGCATGATGAGTGGTGGGCGCACAAACCTGCACACGCAAACAAAAAAATACACCAGAGGGGAAAAAACACAGTTATATGACATCTTTGGTGGGCCTTTCATACTTCACTGGAACTTTGTTCATTTTGCTTTGCAGACACGCTAACATACCCAGCAGGACATTCAGCAGTTCTGATCTCCTCGCAGTCATCCTGCAGCCATGAAGTGTCTCCTTCAAGAAGAAGATCAGAGGACGGAGGATGGATTAATGAAAGGAAAACAAAGTCATTAAAGATATACTGAAGTATGCCTTTAGCCTCAAAACCCTGTGGTGTGTGAGCAGCAACATGTGTGTGATTGACAGCTAGGCTTGCATTGCAAAGTGAGTTTAACCTACCAAAGTGATCTTTTTTCTGTTGTCTGACTTAACTAAGCTATCAATTATAGGCCTGGCCCTCTCTTAAATATCTTTAAAGGTCATGAATTATACTCCTGGGCTGCACAGTGCTGCAGTGGTAAATGATGTTGCCTCACAGCGAGGAGGTTCCTGGTTTAAAAAACATTACTAATCCCACTGTTGCATCCACCAAAGTGCTCTGTGTAAGTATAGCAGCAACTTGAGTTACGAGAACATCAAATCGACTGAAGAGAGCGCACACAATGTGTACGAGTCTGAATAGCAGTCTGAGTTTCCGCTGATCCTGGGTCAGAAAACAGTCCTAAACCAACATTTTTAAACAGACAAAACATGTTTATTTCAGCCCTGTGATTGAAAGAGTATAAGTGTAGACCCTGCCTATCGCCCACTGATAGCTGGGATCACACCAGCCACCCGCGACCCCGAACGGGGAAAAGCGATAGATAATTGATGGATGGATGGATATTATTCTCCTTTTCAACTAGTTTAATTAAGTCTCAGATGTGGAAGCATCACCCACCTGGGGGAGGGCTTACTGCCCTATGTGATGTCACAAAAAGTGTATTTTGCATAATACGAGACCTTTAAAATCTCACCAGATGTTTAAAATGTGAGAGACTGCACACTTCGTGACTTGTAAAGACATATTAAACAGTTTTGGTCGTGTAGTATGTGCAGAGCAAACGGCATGAACAGAACAGCACACAGCACACTTAACGGATTCATTCAACAACAACCAGCACAATGGTACAGCAGTCCAAATTCAAAACATTAGAGAGAGCTGTCTCTCTTGCCCCCTCCTCCCTAGAGATGATATGCAAGCAGGATGCCATGTGGTGGACACTGAAGCTTCAGTGTTTAGCCATTTCTGCACCGGTGTTTAAACCTTTCTGCATTCTGACCTCTCTCTCCATTTTTCAAAAGCATCTCTAATATATATCCTAGTTTGACCACGTTTCTGAATGTGAGTTTATTAGCAAAATGTCAAGGCTTTTTAAGGCGGGTTACTTTCCCACATGTCATTCCCCATTTGTTCTCCTGATTTCTTACTGTATCCTGTGTCTTAAAGGCAAAAACAAGACAAAAAACATGACTGAAGATCTGTCGTTTTTAAAGCTTTGGTACTTTTGAAAGTCTAACAATGAATATCTTTTATATAGAAGGTTTTTTGCTGGTCTCTGAACACTCTTGCCCTCTCCGCACTTTCAAGATTAGAAGGGCATCATGTCCTGAAAACCCTTAATCTTGACAGTTAACATATTCACTGAAGCCACATTATGAAATACAATATTAGGGACCTTGAAACATACAGTATATGAGAGTTAAAGCTTCAAACCTTTACACAGTGTCTTGTAGTTGGTACAACAGTCTCCTCTGGCCAGACAGTCATCAGAGCAGTGGCAGGCATGCTGTTCATTTCGAGTCTCTCCACACCGGTCTTTACTGCACTCATAACCCCCCTCTGTGTTCAGGAGAACAGAAGGAACATTAGACCGAAGAGTTTTGACAAAGAATCAGCAGATAAAGAAAAACTCTAACTCGATTTACTTTGAATTTATATGATAGACAAGTGGAGAAACCGCAAGCTTGGATCAGACCAAACTATCTAGCTGAAGGTTGTAGCTCAAAGTAGGATCTCATGCAGTCAGGGTAATGAGCTGAGAACAAGCATAAAGCCAAGTATCATCATTTTTCAGGCACAGGGACGATTACAGCGGTGAGGCAGTGGTAAACCAAAGACCACCAGGCTAAAGGAGAGAACATCAAAACAGACCACCAACACTGGAGGCAGCACAGGAAAAATATTGACAGACAGCAGAGAGAGAGAGAGAGAGAAAATCAGAAACAGAGAGAAATAACAACAAACAAGAACAGCTCCAGCCAGCAGCCATGAGACAGTATTAGTCTCAAGATAATCTTTTTGTTCAAATGAACCTAATTTAAGTGCTTGTTTTACCACTGACAGGATCAGATTGTAGTTAAAACTGTCTGATTTGTTTGGAAAGAGATGGTTTGTAGGAGTCGTGTGCTTTTTTTTTAAAACAACACACAGTTACAATGAGTTGTTTTAAAGCCACCAGACTCAGAAAAACACTAACTTATCCTCACAGAACACGGGAGTCCTTTCTCAAATCAAAAAGTCACAAATTATTCCACAGCAGTTGTAATAAAACCACAGATTGTATAAAACACGGACATAGTCTCTGTGATGTCACCCATTGGTTTTTGAAGTAACGTTTTGAATCCCACAACGGCGGTTGCCATATTGAAAATGTTATCACAAACTTTGAAACAACCTAGAGATAGGCATAAAGGTAGAGGTGAGGCAGGTCTTTAGCCTCCTGGAAAACAGCTGCAACGGGCCTTCCTGTCAGTCAGATCCTAATTATGCAAATGTATGTATAAATGGGACCGGCTGTGGTTCAGTGGTAGAGTTGATTGTCCCTCAACCAGAAGGTCAGGGGATTCAATCTCCAGCTCCCACAGTCATGTGACATTTAACATCCTTTAAAATATCTTAAACACTAACATAATGTTTTGGAGTATTTAAATGAAGTGGCAACCCCTGGTGTTGAAAATGGAAGCCAATATGAAAGTTCAAAAACGGTAGCTTCTCTAGTGTTAAGTCTGGCTCCAAAAGCCCATCAAGACCAATATTAAAATGTCTATATTACTGTAGAATTTAGCATATTTTACATCCTGGTTCAAAAACTGTTTTGGTCTTGAACGCTAATTTCTTTGGTAAAAACTGTACAGATGTTTTTTATATAACTCATATGTTTTAATTTGATCAGGGCTAAGAGTGATGCATGGGTTTGTGTAAATCTGGAAGTTTTTGAATAAATGACAGGTGGGCTTGTTGTAGCTGTTTGCAAGCTGGCTTAAGGCCTGCCTCAGTTTAAGATCTTTGCCTATTTCTCGATTGATTGAAAGTTGGTGGAAACATTTTACCCAACTTCTTAGCCTACAATACTGTGACTTTCTTCATGTTTTATACAGCCTACTATCCAAAGTCGCATTTCATCAGTTTACCTTTTAAGAGACACTGGTAGATAAACAACTATCCAGAAAGAAAGAAATAAGATGGGAGAACCATGGAGTACCTGTCCGAAGGCAGAGCTGGTCAAAGTCGGAGCAGCAGCTGTTGTAGGTCTTACACAGGTTGTCACAGCGACAGTTTGGTGGCTCCGACTCCGCCAGCTCAAAACACCTGTTCCTGCAGGAGCCGGAGGTCGCCACGTACGGAGACGCAGAGCGAGCTGAGAACAAAAGAGACGGAGATCATTATGTGTTTAGAAATGGCCGAGAAAATAGCACAAAGACAAACATATGAAATGTTGAAACAGAGAGTTTCATTGTATTATGAAAATGATACGACCTATTACAAGAGGTTTCAGGTTAATGTCAATGATTGTATTCCATTCGATTCCATAACATGAAGCCGCATGATGGGTTTCATGCTGAATCTTTATATATATGGTAAATGGACTTGAGCTTGTTTAGCACATTTCTTCACTTACACCGCAGTTCACACGTACACATTCACACAATGATGGCAGAGGCTGCTATTTGCTATGTAAAGTGACCATCAGTATTCATTTTTCATACAGATTCACACACCGCTGACAAAGCAGCAGGAGCAACTCGGGGTTAAGTGTTTTGCCCAAGGACACATCAGACATGTGGCTGCAGGTGCTGGGGGGATTGAACCTCCGACCTTCTGGTTGAGCGACGACCGACTCTACCCCTGATCCACAGCTCAGTTTATTTATAGATAAACGATATAGACATGGCTGGAAAAATCTACAGGCTACAATCAAAGTCAGTATGCTGTAAACTATTCTGTCACTGCATCAATGAAGAATCATCCACGTCCGCAGTAATAGGTTTTTAATTTTTGTAAATATAAGAAAAAACAACACAGAGACACTTTTTTTTTAAAGGAATCATTTCCTTTTCCTTTAAGAAAACTTAAACATAGAAGAGACAAAAGGTCTTTAAGTCAAACTCAGGCATGTCTAAACGTGAAGTGCTCTCCTGAGACCTAACATGGTATAATTCTACCCTCGGGTTCTCCTGAAACACAATCAAACTTTTGTCACACTCAGGATCTAATGCGCAGTGACCCTGTTTGGCCCTCAGCCCGCAGTGTGAGAACCTCACAAGCTTAACTAAAGACATCCTGGAGATCTGAGAGGGAGACAGCTTAAACGTAATGGCTCCATTTCTCACAACATGCTCTCTGTCCACCAAGTCATGAAAAACAAGCTCGCTCTCAGAGGATGCCAACGGGACTTTTTCAGCTCGTGTCTCCGTGTGGACATATGTGTGTGTTTGTTTTTTTATGTGCCTATATGAAGGAACTGCTGCTCAGCCAGTTGGCACAGGAGAGAAGATGCTATAAGACCCACACCTTACTGGATTCAGTGTGTGAGAACTTCAGGCCAAAGGTGAAAAAAAAAAAGTTAGAGGTATTTTTGAATAACTTGATCTCTGTTCATGAACTCTTTTTATTAGAAAAATCTCCAGTTAAGAGGGGATTTAATGTCCTGTGTGGGATTTTAGACGATTATGAAACAGAATAAATGATTCTGATGCCCCATTTGAGCTACAAAATCAAACCAGACCAACAGCGAGAAGATTGATTATTTATATCTATTTATTTGTTGCCGACAAGTCAGACGAGGTCATTAACGTCACACTTTGTTCACATTGAAGTTCTTTGGAGTCATTTCCTGATCAGTCTCAGGTAGGGTGTCAAAATGTTGATTTTTCTGTACCTCAAGCTTTCAAATCTCTGCTATCTTAATGATCGAAAGTATCAGAAAGTACCAGAGCTTTAAAAAGCTACCGATCTTCAGTCATACTTTTTTTTTTTTTACCAAAAAGTGGCCTCATAGAACAACGGAGCACTCTCTAAATTGCAACAATACTTTGGCTATGTAACGTAGTTGCTGAATTTGGACAGTGTGTTTGCGTTTAACTTATGGTAAAAGTACAAAAAATAAATTACCCAACAGAGTGTGCAGGGGTCATCTTGTTGTTGTATTAAACAGGTATCAGCATCGTTAGATCTTTAATATCATCATTAAACGTCCGACCTTCAGCTATGGTCATGACCTATGGGAAGTGACAGAAAGAATAAGATTGTGGATACAAGCGGCCCAAATTAGATTCCTCTGGAGGGTGGCTGGACTCAGCCTTAGAGAGAGGGTGAGGGACTCAGACATTCAGGGGGAGCACGGAGTAGAGCGGCTGCTCCTCTGCATCGAACAGAGTCATTTGTCACTTATTCCACTTGGAGCTTTCCGTTCTATCCTGAGGGACAGATAGCGTAAGACCACTGAACAGTGCCTGTGTTTTTAAAATCTTAAATTGTTGTTTTATTGTTGTGTCACAGCTCCCACACTTTCTTTTTTTTAATTGAAAACACTATGTTGTTAATCTATACTGTCACTTCATTGTAACTGTTCTTATGACGTGCTGCTGACCTCTTGGCCAGGTCACCCTTGTGGAAGAGATCCTGATCTCAATGGGTTCTTTATCTGGTTAAATAAAGGTTAAATGAAAAAATAAAAAAAAGGGTGGTTTGGGCATATGATTAGGATGCCTCCTGGACACCTCTCTATGGAGGGGTTTCCGGGCACGCTGAACTGGGAGGAGACCCCGGGGAAGAGCTGGAAAACGTTGCTGGGGAGAGCGAAATCTTGGTTGACTTGCTACCACCGATACCCAACCTTGGATAAGGGGAAGAAAATGGATGGATAGGTATTTAAATTTGGTCTGCCATGGCAATAGACTATGTCAGACTATTAACCACAGCCCCAGTTTCCATTACACAAAGAAAAGTTCACTTTCAGATCGTAAAACACTGGAAGAGAGAGGTTTCATTTCTGGTATTTGTAAATCTAATCTTTTAAACAAATGTGGTCCATGAAATCACATCTCTTACATTAGCTTGTTATTGTCACTGACAGACTCAGATCCTTACTCTAAATGTCTGATAATATAACAGAGAGATCCCCTTCAGAGGACGACCTTTATGTTAAAGTATGAAACTGTGAAAAAAAATACTAATAATAATGTTTGGCTGAGATGTTAGATAAGGACTTTTTTTTTTTTAAGATTTGTTTTTTTTAATTTTTTATTTTAGTGACAGGACAGTAGGCAGAGTCAGATTCAAACCTGGTCCGTCCGCTGTAGAGGATTCAAAGCCTCTGCACACAGGTCGCATGCACAAACCGCAATGCTACAGGCTAGATACAGGTTAGATAAGGAAGTTGTCCGGTTGTCCGGATGTTTTCTTGACATCTGGACTTATTTTTTTTGTGTCCTCAGAGTTGCAAAAACAAAAAAAACAAACATAGAAATGGGATTTACTCACCTCCTAGAAATTAGACAAACACACAACTTGCAGTTTAAATATTGTGCTTTGCAAAAAAACAGCGTTTGGTGAAGGTGATTGTGATCTTGTTTTTGGATTTCATGTTGATTTAAAGTTGAATGACTTACTGATACTACAAACAAACTGTGAACAACTTCAGTAACAACCCCGATGAGAGAAGATGAATACAAAGTGTCAAAAAGTGAAGAACAGATACAGCCGGCCATCCCCTGCTGTCTGCGGCACGGTGGAGCAAAAACCGCTTCCCTCTGGTGCAGACGAGTCCTATAGAGTCTGAACCAGCTTCACTACTCAGACCATGTTGACTCAAGGTAGAGCAACACAAACACACTCTCTCTCTCTCTTTTCCTCAATCACAACCCTGCAGGGTCACAGTGATCCGTTGTAACCCCCCCCCCATCCCTCTACCACCACTCTCTGCCTGCTCATTTAATATGCACTGGCAGACACTTCTTATAGTGAAGACCGGGCAAACAAACCGAGTAGAAATATTCTTGCAGCGTGGAAAGTTGATTCTCATCTGATTTCATGTTTGTCATGTTTAGAGGAGGGATCTTGGAGACAGCGGGGTGAGAGGGGGGGGGGTATGTCAGTCTAAATGACATTTGGGTGACTGATTACACTTGAACCTCACATAGGGTTGAAGATTTACACTAAAAGTTGTTTTCTGCATGTATCTTGGCTCAGAGCGCAGCTGGAGGCATGTCGCACCCACACTTGGCCAAGATACATGAACGCAGGTCCAAAACACACTCCATACTGCCTGTCTGAGCCTCTTGGCAAATTTAATAAAAGTGAGGGCTTCTTCTTGTACTGAACAAGTTTTTGTTATTAATATGTGTTGAACACCGCCGTGAGAAGATGCTCAGTGGACCTTTGCATTGTTCTCATGTAATTTAAACACAGACTGTCTTTAAGAAGTGGAAGCAGCCATCATCACACCCATTGATCATTTTATCTGTCACCGTCTTGTTTTGTGTTTATTATCATGAACATAGGGGTCAATGCCAGACTTTTTAAACTTCAATTCTATTTTATTCAAAATCAAACATCTTCAACTTTTATTTAACAAAAAAAACTAAGTCCAAGTTTAAATGAGCAAAAACATGCAGTTGAATTCCTTCACATAAACAGTGCTCGCTGTCTTTTTTTTTTAAGCTTTGCTACTTTTCCAACATATAGATCTTTAAAATAACATACTGTATGATCTTAAAACGCGTAGTATTGAAAAAGTATTGAACATTTTGACAACCTTAATATAGACTTGACTTAATGTGGACAAAAGGTATAGGGAGGGTTCAGCAAACACTAACATATTAGTTAACACTATAGATATCTTGGTGTGTGTATGTCGATAACTTCAGATAGCTGTAGAAAATAATAAGATGATAATTTTTAAGAGCAAGAAAAAAATGCTTTGAACTTAATTTAATTACCAAAAGTATGACCAGTCACCTCCTGTGACTGTTGTTTACAGCCGAACACTGAAAAAGAAGAGGTTTTTTTTTCCGGACTGTAACAGGTTCAAGTCAAGCGGACCAAATCTGTAAATTGGTCTGGTAGCTGGAGAGGTGCCAGCCAGTTCACTTCCTGAGCACTGCCGAGGTGCCATTGAGCAAACCACTAGACCCCCACCACCAGATCAGAAGGGCTCACCGTGGGCAGCCCCCTCACTCCGACACCTCTCCATTATGCACATCCTCTTTGTGCATGTGTGTGTATTTCAGCCTGTGTGTCTCAATAACAGAGTCAAATTGAATTTCCCCTCATGGGATTAATAAAATATATCTTCTCCTTCTACCAATAAACATAATTCTTACATGATTCTATATAAGGAGAGCTCAAGCAGTCCAAACCGTTTCCATGTATACATGTAATGAGGACAGGCGTACTCACAGTCCGTCCTGGCTGAAGTCCCGTCCTCTCCGGAGCGTCTGGGCCGGTCGTACACAAACCCCGAACACACATCGGAGCCACACAGGAGTGACAGGATCCAAACAAACTGAGAGGACAACACATCACACATCAGAACAGACATGTGCTCTACTGCTGCATCGTACAGTCATCAGAGGCAGTGAAAAAACAGCCGCTAAGCACTCCTTCATTAGGCTTAAATATTGATATTGATACAGCATTATATCGACATCCTGAGTTGTGTGATTGTCATTTAATTTATAAGGACAATTCAGCACTCTACACAGATTTCCCTGCATTTGTGACTCACCGTGAAAAGCAGGATAAAAGAAGAAGAAAGAAGACGGAATAATATTGGACAGCAGTGAAAATGAGTTAAAGTGTGAATTGCACAAGAGGAGACATCGATAAAAAAATGTAGGGATTACATTATTCCTGCACTTTGCCTTTAAAGGGGATTTTATATTCATTATTTGATCAGATATTTAAATGTTTTGTCTCACAATATATCAGTTATTTCAGGATTGCTGTGTGATGTTATTGTGGGCCACATTGTGACACATTGTGTGTCTGTGTCTGTATCTTATTGTGAGTTAACCTGACTACCAATCCCTACTCTTTAATGACTATTCAGAAGACACATTTGTGTTCTTTAAGCATATTCACATTTAATCTTAGCTTTAATCTGCTTTAAATGTCATTTATGTGACCACAGGGTTGTTTAACTGGTGAAAATGAGCCATCAGAAGTCCATCATGTTCAAAGGTGATTTATATTTTCGTCATTAGCTGCGACCTCTAATTCAAAAAGTCGAAGAGAACACAGCTCTTCCTTTATCCTCATTGTCAACATGCCGGTGCAGTTTCACAATGACCTGTCAAGACTGGTGCGCTGCTCGGTTCAAAGGGAAAAGAGACCAGCCGTGCATAACAATCGCCTTTGATAGTTTGACGAATCGTTCACCAATTTAGAAATGACAGACTGATCGACAATTGTCCTGCAAATGCTGAGCAGCAGGAAGGGGAAAGAGGTGAAGAGTGGGGGGTAGTTTTAGGGGAAAAAGAAGGCACGAAATGGGGTTTAGTTCATGGAAGAACGCGCACCAGAAAAATAATCGGATACATGCGCATTTACGCACTGCTTTACGCACAGATTTTTCTTTAATTCTTTAGTAAGAAAAACAGCTAAAACGAGACATGCACTCTTACCGTACCAGTTTGTGCAGCAACATGTTCCTCTGTCGGTGTGTGTACTCCTGTGCTGTAGTCTGGAGAGTGAGTGATGCTGACTCCGTAACCAAAGGACCACCGGAGAGGAGGACCGTTGAGGAAGAGGGGGAGGTGACTGAAAGGTGTGGGCCGGGTTCTCAGTGTGGGGTTGGAGGAGGGATTTTATATTAGCAGAGGACCTAAATGATACAGCGAGGAAAAGGAAAGAGGTTTGGGGGTGGTGGGAGAGAGCAAGCAAAACTCTACCATCTCTCCAGGTCAGTAAAATAACTTCAGTATGTGAAGTGGGAGCTGCGATAGAAGTGATGTCATGCCTTGTTCTCGTTTTTTGCGGGGTCATTCAAGGTTACGACTCAGCTCTACTTCCCTGTGGAGTGCCATGGAAGAAGCTTTGACCAAGACATTTGATCACTCATACGATTAAGGACATTTCTTTTAAACTCAGCCATACACTTTAGATACAAATTATATTTAAAGAAAGTTTGAAGACAGATAGCCTCAGATGTAAACTGCCTGTGCTGAAACATTGCTGTGCATTTATTTTGGTATTGCCCAACTGTGATGAAGTTACGTGATTTAATTCATGATTATAAAACTTTTTGTTTAGATTTTTGGAAGAATTTATTTTTTGGTTTCTTGGAAAATAGTACACAGAACAAAACACTTTTGATTCCACATCCATGAATCTAAATTCATAAACACGCTTCATTGCATCCAGTCCCAAGTTCAAACAAAACATTAACTCTGAAAGACGGAAATCAATTCACACAGTAACAGCTTTAGTATGTTTAAAGGTCACATATTTTTGTTCCTTTCCAACCAGTTTAAATAAGTCTCAGAGTTCCCCAAAACATGTGTGTGAAGTTTCTTGTTCTAAATCCACTCTGATCCTGTATTTGATCATGCCTATAAACCCCTCTATTTCAGCCCTGCTCAGAACAGGCTGTTTCTGTGTCTGTACCTTTAAATATGTAAATGAGCTGTGTTTAACCACACCTCCTCTCTGGAAGGGCTCGGGCTCTCTTGCAGCTTGCACAACTGTTTACGTTGAGAAGGCAGACTCAAAGGGCAAAACAAACACTAGCTGTGGGAGTGTCACCCACCTGGGGGAGGGGCTACTGCCCTTTGTGATGTCATTAAGGGAAAATCGCCAAACAGCCTGTTTGAGCACACATTTTCTGAAAAGTGGAGCAGGCAAAAGCCACGCCCCTCACTTACATGCACAAGCACCATTGGTCTCAATGGAGCAGACCTCAGCTCATGCTTTGAGTGTGGGCTCATGCACACAAGGGTTAGAGAGCGAGCAGGGAGACATGATTGGTTCATCAGATTGGTACCTCGTGGCAGACATTGGTCGAAGTTTTTACAGGTTTACAACTGCTACAGATGACAGATTTTATTTGTTCCTTCTTCAGGGGACATTAATTATTAATTTCTGTCAGGAGCTAATGACAATTTCAACTAAAATCTTAAAAGGTGTATCTGGAGAAAATTACCAACCCTGCCTTTTAGTGTATTTTGCCCAAAATGTGACTTTTAAAATCTTTATATAGACTTATAGATGGTTAAGCACTGACTCCTAGCTTGCAAGATGCGGTGCCCGACTCCGCTGGTCACTCTTTAATATAGGACTTTTTCAATTAAAAGAGCACGAGACAAGGTTTATTTACAGAAAAATATACCAGCATTTTCTGTAAATGCACAATTTTGACCTTGTGAAGGAGAAAAGATGTGAAAAAGTTGCGCAGCCAGACTGGTCTGTGTCGCTGTCTTTCCCAGCACAGCGTGCAACCAGCTTTCAATACATAATGAATGGGGACGGGTTTTGAGTCGCATCAGGTTGCTTTGATAGTGGATGCTGCAACCGCGGTAATGATGGCGCGTGTCAGCATTTTATTCTGGTATATTGGTCGCACCGGTGTATAAGATGCAGTCAACTTTATCGACGAAGGCATCCCTATTTGTCATTCAAGACAGAACAAATTCAATTTGAATATGAATACATAAGGAATCTATTTTTTGAACAGTCTTGAACACACTCTACCCTTGTGGATAAATTCAAAATTGGGGAAATAGACCTCTGCAGTTTTTATTTTCCTAAATGTAAAACCATCCAGTCAAACTTAAGAATTAGTGCCAGAGGAAACCCAGACATAAATGCCTTGTTGGAGCCCGGGTTTTAATCCAGTTAAAAAAAGCCATGAATACAAAAAGTATCTTTAATCAATGGTGACAAATGGGAATCTAAAAGGTGTATGAAAAACATGCTACAATTAGGTTTCAATTGTAGAGTCCAGGGAATTTCCTTTCCATTTGCCAGTTGTCAAACACACCACTGGCACAGTCCGGGAAGAGTGGTCAAAGCCACGCCGCGATCAGTCATGTTTCCCCCTCAGACGCGTCACGGTGAATGCTGGGATTGAGCCGTGCGGATGAGGCACACCAGGCGGCGTCTCTGCGGGGGGAAAAGTGGACGAGGTCGACTGCAGTCTGTTTGCCTGTTTGTGGAGAGACGAGCATGTGGTTGCAAACCTGGAAATGATGTTAAAAAGTCAACACACTCCATGCAGACGAGGAGTGTGTATGAGGTGTGAGGACACAAGGATACTTCTTGAAGGGTTATCCCCGTATTCACACAGCAGCCATTCTCCTCTGACATCACTATCAAGGTGTTCAGGACAACCTGCCCATGAAATCTTCCTGAGTTGCTTGCTCACACAGCTCCCTCACAGTGTGAAGTTTTCCCTGTCAGACGAAGGGGGGCGGGGCCTGGGAGGCGAGACAAGACCTCCAAAAAAAAAAATTCCAAGATAGCAGAAAAAGTGAAACTCCAGCAATAAAATGACAGTTTTGGGCTGTTTATAAATATTACATGTAATAAGACTGCTGGGTGTCGGAAAAGAACAAACTGGCGGGTTGAAAAGTGTACCAGTCGCATGGTGTTTACGTCATCACCCCAACCCACTCACAGTCAATTTTCCTGAATATTTCTTGCTGCATTTACACATCAGCTCACCCAGGCCTCATGTGGAAATTTTACTTCAGGGCTGGCAGGAAAAAGTTTGGGTGAACAATCTGAGTATACTTGTATACAGTATACTGTATTGACCAGTTGTGTATCTGCGGTCTTCGATGTATGCAGGAAAAACAGTCGGTATGGACACAATCTGCACTAATTACATCAGTGATGTTCTGGTGACAATTAACTCGTCTTTTTAAACAAATATTTACATAAAAGTTCAGCTTAGAATTGAACATGGATCATTTAAACTTGAGCGACCAATCTGCTAAAAGTCAATCAACGTTTAGATTCCCTGACTACCTGAAATGCATTAGAACCAATCAACAAACTTTTTTCTAAGCTCTTCCCTTCTCCTCTTAATGAATGATTTCTACATCATGATGTTGTTATTGAAGCAAAAGTAAGACCCTTTAACTGAAAGTAAATCAAATGAAAATCGCTTTATTTTTGAAGGCTCAAACAGCTGAAGTAAGCCAGAGTGAAGCCTCTGTGTTATTCTGATCTACTCAGAAGAGACTCACAAGAAACAGATCATCAGGCTCTCCTCCAGGGGATGCGATGGACCAAGAAATCACAGCGTTTACGTCGCATATACGTAAATGCCAGATTGGAAAAAAGAGGTCTTGGCTTGAAAGTCTTTTAACGCTAACCGTTGGCTACAAAGGAATCACCTAGAAAACTAGAAACCATTGTCGTTGTCAGATGATGACAGAAGATGATTCCTGATGTTAACTAGGAAGTGTTTGAATGCTAAACATGCTGTTGTCTTCCACTGGCTCATGAGCAGCCAGGTGTCCTTTAGAATTTTCTCATTCATTGTGTTTCTTGATCAAAAAGGTAACGGTGAAATGAAACACAACAGGACGTCTTCATAAAAGCACACGAGGCTCCCACCCTGAGTGTGACATCAAAGAAAAATGGCTGCTGAGTGAATGAGACCGATGGAACTCCTGTAACACGCTCTAAATGCACGCTGGACCGGATTTTAACAAGGCTGTTTATCTGAGTTGTCCAGAACGATACGACTACTGATTAATTAAAAAAAAGATTATCTTCTACTTATTGTCTCTGTACTCACAGGGGTGTAACCTGAAGGTAACCCCCCCCGGCCGAGTACGAAAAACCGCGTTAATCGGACAAAGACGGCGAGCGCAGGGACCTGCCGCTGGCCGGGCTGTTGCTGTACGCGTGGGAGTTGTCCCTCTCTCTGTCCTTGTCCTTGCTCTCGTGTTTGTGCTTGTGCTTGTGCTTGTGCTTGTGCTTCTTCTTCTTCTTCTTGTGCTCGTGGTGGTGGTGGTGGTGGTGGTGGCCGTGTTCGCCGCCGTGTTTGGAGGAGGATGAGGTGGTCTCCTTGGAGAAGGAGGGCAGAGGCGTGGCGGGCATGGAGAGCATGGCTTGTTCCACTGATGGCGGCTCTTTTCCTGAAAAAAATAAAAAAAATAAAGAAAAGTGTGTGTCACCTAGTTTTGCATGTTCTCTTTTTTTTATGCTTATGTTAGAAATAGTGCGAATATGAATGTTTACCTGGTGTAGACGGTCTGTCTAACAGATTGAGATGATGGTGTATGAAGGCCTGACTATCATGCACAGTCTCCATGTCAATATCTTCTTCTTCCATTGTGTTGAACTACAACAAAGCAGAGCTGCATATTAATACCAGATAACAGTTCAACACAAGTTAATCACGGCAGAAAGCCAAAGACTGCATCACCCACTCACTCACTGTCATCCGCCCCCCCCCACAATCCAAAAAGCAAAGTTCACGATGTCAGTTACCCTGATTTTGAAGCGCCCTGCTCGCACATCCTCGTCCTGTTGCTGCAGGATCTGTCCCGGCTCTGGAGGGGAGCCCAGCGGGGTCTCAGCCTTCCTCTTCAGGCCCTGAGGGGGTTGGCCCACTCCGCAAACCCCCAATGAAATAGGATCTGGCTCTTCCTCCTCCTAGGAAAAACACACACAAAGATACTTGTTTTCAAACAT